GAATTCTCTAAATAAGAAACCCGACTCGTTTCTTCTTCAGAATGTACCTACCTAAAGTCTTGACAGCGGTTACCTTTCCCATCGACATTTATTTTCATCAATATCATCATCATCATCATCGCTCGACTGTATAATGATTGTGCTTATTGATTGCGCGCTATTGATTCGGGTCAAGTTTAAAAGTAATCTTTGTCAGTGCCATAATGATGATCATGAAACTCATGAAAAATCATGAAAATCCCATTAGTCGCTCTGACATTTCTCCGGCACATTTTTATTGAACTACACTAAAGCTCTTTGAACCTTTACCCTCAGTCTTCACTAAGCAGCATCAATTTGAGGCTCTTTCTGAGAGCGTCTCTCCAGGCGGACTCTTTCTAATGGCTCCATCAAGGTCATCACAACACAAGTATTCATATTTGTGCTCTTAGGAAAGCAAGAACTCGCTTTATTGTATTAGTTTTTGACACATTCTTCAGGGAATTGTGACTAACTGCTCAAATTGATGTCGTCTTTACTGGCAAGTGTGTTTTCTGGGAATGAATGTGGATTGGATTTATAGATGTGACGTTTTTGATGTTTATGGAGCGTGAGATTTATTAACAAGAGTTGAGGTCGTTCCCACAGGTGTAATGAAGTCGTTATTTCAGCCTGACATGGGATTAATGAAAGCCTCTTCCGTCCTGTCTGACTTCATCATCTGATTGGGGTTAAGTTATGAGATGGTGGTCAATAAATTGTTGGATTTGGATATCATCAGCGTTTAGCGATCCTGATTATACGATCATGTTTGTCACTTTATTTGCTGCAGCTCAGTTGAGTTTGCCCTAAGGAGATTGCGTGTATGTGTATTTAGAGGTGACATGGTGAATGCATTTATTTAAAAAGATATAATCAGGTATTTAGTTATATGCTGTTTTTATTTTAATTAAAATGGTAAGGTGTTTAATATGTAAATGTATAATTTAACAGGATTAATTTTAAGTTGTAAAATCAATTCACAAGTTATTTATAAAGTATAATTCATATTAAAATGTGGCTTATTTTTTGTACATTTTCTGTAAAATAAAGTCGATTACTGTTTGTTGACTTGCTTGTATAGTACAGTACGTTTTAAAATCCATTTAAATTAATTTATTAGGTAAATAGAAATGTATTTAATTGCATTATTTTTAAATAAAGTGCTCACCGCTTTCAGTGCACATTCAGTGAATGATTGATTTATTTCTGTGTTGATTTATTTCTGTATAAAATAAATAAAGTTACATATTTATGTATTTTTATTTAAGTACAATGTGCATATACTGTGGTGATCATTCAAAATAAAAGATTGCAAATGATTAAAAATTGTATTAAATATTTATTAAATATTTATATATTAAATATTTATTAAGCCTAATACAATATTTTTTTAGGTTTTATTTTAGATATTTAATACATTCATTTAATAAATTCTTTTTGAATCGAAATTAATTTGTAAAGCATTTGTCGCAATATAACTTGTACTAAAATCAAATCAATTATCTTATGTTTATTAATAACTTATATTTATTTATTTTAAATTATTTCAAATTATATATATATATATATATATATATATATATATATATATATATATATATATATATATATATATATATATATATATATATAATCAAGTATTTAGTTGTAGTTGTTAATATATTGTAGTTGTTGTTTTTCTAATGTCTAATAAATGAAAATAAATGAAATTAAAGGATATATAATGGAAAATAGGTTCATTTTAACTTCCAAAATCTATTTAAAATTATTTAAAAAGTATTGTTTACATAAAAGCTAATTCATATTTGTTTTTGTAGATAATATTCAAATGTTATGCAATATAAAGTGAATGAGTATTGAATTCTTATTGAATCGAATTAACATTTGTCTGAATATAACTTGTATTAAAATCAAATCAATTATCTTATGTTTATAAATAAATTATATTTATTTATTTTACATTTATTTATTATAATATGATTTAAATTAATATTGTTTTGTTTGGGTAACTCAAAACTTTCAGTTAATTCTAAATAATAATATGGTTAATGCATTATTAAAAAAAAATATATATATATAATTAAGTATTTAGTTGTTTATATGTTGTATTTGTTGTTTTTTTTAATTGCTAATAAATGAAATTAAATGATATATAATTGAATATAGGTTCATTTTAAGTTCTATAATCTATTTTAATTTATTTAAAAAATATTGTTTACATAAAAGCTAATTATTATTTTTTTATAGATGATATTTAAATGTTATGCAGTATAAATGAATTTTTGTTGAAATGTGCTCAAAATAATGCATTTTAAAATAAATTTCTATGATTTAATGATGAAATTAAATTGTAATTATTTGCATTATTCTTAAATAAAATGCTCACCACTTTCAATGCACATTCAGTAAATGATTGGTTTGTATCTGTGTTGATTTATTTCAGTCTAAAATAAAGTGGTTGACATTAAAAAATGTAAAAATAAAATGATTGCTCCTGATTTTAAATGTGAATGAATTATTCATTAAACCTATTATAATATAAAATTGTTATAGGCTTATTTTAGGTATTAATTAAAGACAATAGAGAATGATTCAAAGAGAATACCAAAGAAACATGATGAAACCTTCGGTAATTAATCAATGTGAAGAGTACTTTAAGTTTTTTAAAACTTAAGAGCTTCCTCATATCGATGACAGAAAGAGCTTAGCTCTTCTTTTCTTCTTTGCGGAGTTCTCTATTTTCAAAGTTGTGGTATTCTTCTTTTAATCACCCTTTATATTAACAAATAAATTATCAAATATTGTTTAAATATAGCTTATATTGAAATCAAATTGATCATACTTATGTTTATAAATAAATAATATATATATTTTTATAATATGAATTAATGTCTTGTCATATTTGCTATTTATTATTAATTATAATATACATTTATATTGTTTAATCTAACATCCAATAAATGAAAATTGTGTAAATTATAAAAATAAATATTATTTATTTGTTATTTATTAAGTAAATATTAAGTAAATTAAAATTAAATAAATAGTAAAATAATATAAATAAATATTTAAATATTATTATTAATTGTAAACCACTTTAACTAGTTATAAAATACAATTAAACAATTTCTTATGAGAGGTACTAAATAGATAGTAACAATTATTTATGGTATACATTAAATATATTTTTAATAATAAATAAATAATAATTTTTTTTCAGCAATATGCATTCAAAGTGATGATAAATTTTTGATTATTAATTTATTTTTTGATAATAATTATATTTTAAATCACATTACGTTTTATAAATATATATATTTTTAAGGAATTTAAAAACCGTTTACGATCAAAATAGTGGTTTTATGGATACTTCAGGTCATACTAGTGCTGCATTTATGAGTGATTTTTTTCAAAAATGCTTTAAAAAGACCTAAACAGATCAGCGACAGACTTACTAGGCAGTCGTATCGAACGGTCAATTTAGTGCTTAACTTGTACACCATGAACAAATGGTCAATATCCATAAACTTTACACGCTCCACACTTCAAGGCTTTCCTCACTCATTCTCTTCCTCCCTCTGTTTAACTCTCTTGTGAGTTACTCCCTCCTTACCACTTTTACCGCCCCATTTTTCTCACATTTACGCTTGTTTTAGACAGTTGGCCTTGGATAGCCTTGAAAACGTAGACCTTTGGCATGAAGTGGAGCTCATATCTCTCCCAAAACCGCTGCTGTAAACCCTACGACCACGTCAAAGCACTGGCTTTTCTTTATTACTCTGCTGTCCAGAAGAAGACAAATGTGCGTTAATAAATAATAGACTGGAGTGTTCATAAGAAATTTGGAGCTTGTCGTCCTCTGAGATGATTTATCGAGTGTTAAAGTCCGACATTCACTCCCAAAATAGACATTATTTGGCTTTTTTAGACACAAATCCAGCTTTTACTCTTATTTAGTTTCTTTCAGTGGTTAAATGATTGAATGAGTTGTTAAATGCTCTTAAATGTGATTTGTTTATGTTTTAGATGACTTGGCAGCAAAGGCCAACATTATTATAGACCCAGCAGAGATCCAGGCTGTTTCAATGGATGACTTGGATGAAAATGAGGAAACTGGAGCTGCACAGGTACAGAAATCACTGCCAAGAGTCTGTTCTTTAAAAACATACAGTTAAAGTCAGAATTATTAGCCACAGAATTATTCCCCCAACTTTCTGTTTAACCGATTTTTACACATATAACAGTGGTTTGTTCTTTAGACAGTGGAAAAATAATAGCTTAACAGATGATAACTGTAACAAAATGTATATTTTTGTATTCATATTAACAACAACAGATGATAACTATAATGATAACTATTTTAGCATCCACTCCAACAGACGATAACTGTAATTATACTGATATTTTCATCCACACAACGATACAGATATTTCCATTCACATCAACAGGCAATAATTGTAACTTTACCTATATTTTCATCCACACAACGATACCGATATTTTCATTTACACCAACAGACGATAAATGTAACTACACTGATATTTTTATTCACACCATCAGACAAAACTGTAACAATACCGATATTTTCATCCACACGAACAGACGATAACTGTAACGATACCGATATTTTCATCCACACAAACAGACGATAACTGTAACGATACCAATATTTTCATCCACACCACAGACGATAACTGTAATGATACTGATATTTTCATCCACACGAACAGACAATAACTGTAATGATACCAATATTTCTATCCACACCAACAGATGATACTGTAACGATACCAATATTTCCATCCACACCAACAGACGATAACTGTGATGATACCAATATTTTCATTCACACCAACAGACAATAACTGTAACTATACCGATATTTTCACCCCTACTAACAGACACTAACTGTAATGATACCGATATTTTCATCTACACCAATAGACGGTAACTGTAATGATACCGATATTTTATCCTCACCAACAGACAATAACTGTAACTACCGATATTTTTATCCACACTAACAGACGAAAACTGTAATGACACAGATATTTTCATCCACACAAACAGAAGATAACTGAAACTGTACTGATATTGTCATCCACATAAACAGACGATAACTGTAACGATACTTATATTTTCATCCACACCAACAGACGATAACTGTAATTATACCAATATTTTTATCCACACTAACAGACGAAAACTGTAATGAAACCGATATTTTCATTCACACAAACAGAAGATAACTGAAACTGTACGGATATTGTCATCCACATAAACAGACGATAACTGTAATTATACCAATAATTTTATCCACACTAACAGACAATAATGATTCCGATATTTTCACCCCTACCAACAGAGAATAACTGTAATGATACCGATATTTTCACCCCTACTTACAGACAATAACAGTAATGATACCGATATTTTCATTCACACCAACAGACGATAACTGTAACGATACCGATATTTCCATCCACACCAACAGATAACCGTAATGATAACTATATTTTCATCGACACTAACAGACGATAACTGTAATGATACCAATATTTTCATCCACACTAACAGACAATAGCCCCTTTCACACATACAGACCTTTCCGGAAAATTGCCGGCAATTCTCCGGAAAGGTTGTATGTGTGAACAGGTCCTTTTTGAAAATACCGGTAAATTCGTTCTGGCTATTTTCCGGAAAGAGAAGTTGTAACATTACCGGCAATTTGCCGGAATGCTGCGCTGTGTGAATGCAGAAGGAAGATTCCCGTAATAAGCGCATGCACGTCTAGAACGTGCTGACGTGAGACGTCTGCTTTAGCCAATCACAACAGTCAGACGCATTTACGTCCGCGCGGTTTGTGAGAATAAAAGCCTTTGAATATTTTTCCAGACACATTTAGCTGCTAGAAGTTAGTCAGATCACATTTATATGTTCTTCTTAATGCCAACTGTGTAAATAATCATCGATGAGATGCCTATGATAAGCCGTTGTTTGTTTACCTTCAAGCTTTGCGTGCGCCTATGAGCGCCTGCACACGCACATATTATGAACATCTCGACATGCGAAAGTGATCCTGCGAAAGTTGTTCACAATATTGATCATCCACAGAGTCTGTAATTTAGTCAAATGTTTACAAATACAAGTGCAGCCGTTTAAAGCTCATTTGTGGTGAATGATGTCAGAATTTACCGGTATTTTGGAATGGATGTGTGAATGCTCTTTTCCGGAAAATTTCTGTAACGTCCTCGCCTGTGTGAACAGCGCTTTTTTGAATATACCGGTAAAGTCGTTCCGGAAATTTTCCGGATATTTACCGGTATCACTGTGTGAAAGGGGCTATTAACTCTAATGATACTTATATTTTCACCCCTACTAACAGACAATAATTATAATGATACCGATATTTTCATCCACACCAACAGATGATAACAGTTACGATACTGATATTTCTATCCACGCCAACAGACGATAACTGTAATGATAACCATATTTTCATCAACACTAACAGATGAGTCTGAGTCTGGTTCTCTCAAGGTTTTTTTTCTTCACTCCTATCAGGTGAAGTTTTTTTTTCCCTCTCCGCTGTCGCCACTGGCTCACATGGTTCAGGATTGGTAGAGCTACGCATCGATGAATTTGCTCTTCAGTGTTTGAACTCTCAGTAATGATTTTAAATCACACTGAACTGAGCTAAACTGAACTGAACTTAAACACTAAAAACTGAACTACACTGTTCCAGTTACTATGACCATTTATGTGAAGCTGCTTTGACACAATCTACATTGTAAAAGCGCTATACAAATAAAGCTGAATTGAATTGAATGATAACTGTAACGATACCGATATTTTCATTCACACCAACAGACGAAAACTGTAACTATACTGATATTTTCACCCCTACTAAAAGACAATAACTGTAATGATACCGAAATTTTCATCCACACTAAGAGACAATAACTGTAATGATAACGATATTTTCACCTACACTAACAGACGATAACGATATTTTCACCTACACTAACAGACGATAACGATATTTTCACCTACACTAACAGACGATAACTGTAATGATAACGATATTTTCATCCACACCAACAGACAATAACTGTAATGATACCAATATTTTCATCCAACTGTAGCAATGTTTCATCCAACATTCAAACTGTAATTACACAGAAAACTTTATTATTGTTTACACAATAAAATTTTTTTTTTGGTCATGATAGTTACGTTCCTTGTCCTGAACACCCTGAAATTGCAGTACAAATTACAAGAATGTTGATTCCTTTAATTAAGTGAGAGCAACTGATTCGTCATGCAGAAGCAAACAGATGTACTACTCTAATAATACACTTTTTTTCCAACAAATAAAAAATAAAATGTTGAGTGCTGTCATGCAACTGTGCGTTTTGAATATCTTTGAAATCCTCCAACTACTGGCCTCATTTCCTTCTATTGTAAGGCTTCACTCTAACCACATTATTATTTTTTTTGTACCTAAAACCCCACTGGATTGGACCCGTGTCGCGCTCTGTGGAGCTGGTCTAGTTTTGGTTTTGAGGACATTCTCCTGAATGTCATGTGGTCTAGACATTGAAGACGGATGATAATGTGTGTGTCGTGTGTTTGGAATCTGCAGAGACCATCTGGTGCTGTGGCCATGGGCGGTGCTCTTGCGCGACCCAGTTGGCTGAGTTCTCCGACGCTGGGCAGAGCCAACCGGTTCCTGAGCACTGCCGCCGTCAGCCTGATGACCCCACGGAGACCCCTTGCCCCGCCAGAGAAGGTCAAAGTGCGGACCCTCGCCGTAGAGCAACGAACAGAGGAGGACAGTGAGTGCACCATTAAAATTAAGGAGTTTATTTGGGTTCTTATTAGTATTATATTTATTATCATTGCAATAGGGTATTTGAAGAAGGACTTTTAATTTTCAGTAACCCAGTTCAAGAGCTTTTGGTGAACTGAATTACTTTACAAAATTGCAGCTTTTAATGTCTGTTTTCTTTAAAAATCAATGATCTTCACTGTGTGATTGATAAAGGTTATAAAGTAGGTCTCAGACTTTACGAGAAGCACTGCTGTCCCACGCCATGTCTTTAAAATCTGAGCACTTACTTTACCCCAGTACTTTCAATGGAGTTTCTGTGCTCATCTGCTGCTACTGAAGGCGCTTGCGTGTAAACGGCTTTTCATCTTGTTTTACACTTGAACGAATAAATGAATGCTCAAGTCTATTTAACTGATTATAATTTAATCACATTACAACATTGATGCTGTAAAAAGGAACCGTATGAAACTGAACATAATCACATTAACCTTTCACCGGAAGTTTAGCGGTAGGGAATAAACACTAGCTGTGCTTATAACCTATTGTTTAATAGATAATAAAGAAACAAGGGAAGAGTTTAAGTAATATTCTGGTTAAAATATCACAATTGGATTAGATATTAGTTTATCACATGCATTAACAGAATATAAATACGTGTCGTGAATATCTTGAGTATCTAAATGTTTTTATATACTTACAGATGAAGTCAGAATTATTAGCCCCCCTTCAAATTTTTTTATTCTTTTTTTGCATTTTTTTTTTTTCAAATGATGTTTAATAGAGCAAGGAAATTTTCACAGTATGCCTGATCATATTTTTTCTTTTGGAGAAAGTCTTATATGTTTTATTTCGGCTAGAATAAAAGCTGTTTTTTATCTTTTAAACACCATTTTAGGGACAAAATTATGAGCCCCTTTAAGCTATATTTTTTCTCGATAACCTACAGAACAAACCACTGTTATACAATAACTTGCCTAATTACCCTAACCTGCCTAGTTAACCTAATTAACCTAGTTAAGCCTTTAAATGTCAAAATGTTAAGCTGTATAGAAGTGTCCTGAAAAATATCTAGTTAAATAGTATGTGCTGTCATTATGGTAAATAGAAAATAAATCAGTTATTAGAAATGAGTTAGTTAAATTATTCTGCTTAAAAATGTGGTCTCCGTTAAACAGAAATAAACAAAAATAAACGAAAATAAAAAAAGCGGTCTAACAATTCAGGGGGCTAATAGTTCTGACTTCAATTGTGTATTTGACCATAAACAATAAACATTTTAAAGCAAATGTATTATTTTAAAGGGCACAAATTGTAACCATTTTTAAAGATTTAATATGAATCCTGTGTCTCCAGAATGTGTCTGGAAAGTTTCAGCCATCAGATTATTTAGTATTGCTTTTTAAATCTGGGAAATGGTTGCTGTTTTAACAGTGTAACGTTATTGCCTTTGCCTTAAATGCTAATGAGCTGGTTTTCCCCGCCCACCGTTCCCCTGTGCTTGTCACAACCTTTATGTAGACAAACCAGTGTTGCCAACTTAGCAACTTTATCGCTATATTTGCTGACTTTTCAGAACCTGTCAGCGACGTATTTTCAAAAAAAAAAAAGACAAATCTAGCGACTTTTTGTGTGTTACTGAAGATTTTTATAGACTATCATTTGTCCATACTGTACCGTTCTGACTCTTCTCATTGAGCTGCGGGTGATGCCGTCAGCCCCTCCCACGCCTCAGAGCCCTGACAGGTGACCCAGTCCTCGTACAGCAGTCTCTCCCACCTGCAGCCTGAGAGCAAATCACCCCTCTGCACACCGACGGCAAATGATTTAGCACCGCAGTGTGAAGTTGTTTCCACTGTACAGTCAAACCAATCTGCTTCTCCATTATTTTAAATTTGTCTTTGTTCACAATCACAGATATTTTAGTGACAGTTTCAGAACTTGTCTGAGTTTATTACGTCAGAGAGATTACTGCAAATTATCTGCAAAAAAATATACTGTATTCAAACAGCACTATTTCCGTTTAATTGACATGCTTGCATAAAGCGTAGTGGAAGTATAAATACCCCATTTATTGATCATAGGCTGTTAAACAAACAGAAAGGGTAGAACCTGATGACCTCAGTAATATGCATATTGACGTATGATGTAATCTAGCGACATTTAGCTGCTTTTCGTGCAGAACTTATCGCCTTTTCATTGAAAATAGCTGGCAACAGTGAGACTAACAGCTCAGTGCTTAGTGACAGACAAGAATGAAGCAGATCTCCTTTATTACAGTAAGAACTTTCACAACAGTTATTTGATATTTTTCTTGTTGAGTTTATTTAGTTTAAATTTAATGTTAATGCATAAATAAACCTGATTTAACGTCCACAAACCGGCCTTGAAGCGTCTTCTTTCATAGTTGTGTTGACGCTATGCGGCTGTGGTGATGAATTACGTAGCGATTTTACTTCATTTTATTACAAACATGCATGGTTTGAGAAAGGTTTTAAACTTGTGAAACTCACTCTTGATCACATTTGATGATGACTGTTGTTCACAGAGAGCTATACAGATCTTTTATTTCTTTGCGCACATGCCGTCTTGTTGATATGATTATATGCGTTACTGCGGAGACATGTTAATTCGCAGCTGTCAATCAATATTGGTGGGTGGGAAAACCACACTCCTGCAGTACGTCTCATTGCGGACGACCTCAAAATGGGAGGGATTTGGCTCCTATTTTAACGTCAGGAAGTTTAAAAAAGAGATTTATTGAGTTTCTATCACCCCAATATGACTGTGGGCACACTATACCTACAGACAGCTCTGTCCAAAAAGCGCACAAAAGAGGATTTTCATCATAGGTGCGCTTTAAAAGGTCCCGTGAAGTGCTTTTAAATGCACTTTTTTTTTTTATTCGATGTCTGACGTAATCTCAGCCAAAACATGAAGAGAGGGTGGGACATAGCTTCTCTCCTTAAAAAAAGTTGAAAGTAGCGTTTCGTTTTATTGCCGCTCTGCCAGCGAGAGTGGCTGAGCTCAAGCACATCAAATGAGAAGCGTCTTGAAGGGAACGGAGCATGTCAGATATCAGAGATTATCTTAAAAAATAGCAATACTGATACTAACATCTAAAAAAACTTGATTTTAATTCAAAATAAAGTCCTTTAAAGTCCACTTTCTGCAGCTCTTGATCATCTTAGTCCTATGGTTTACTTGAACACCAGTTAGTTTGGCAATGAATTCCTCAAACAGAGTAAATCTCGCACCTTCCAGGAGGAAACATGCTGTTTTTTAACCCCTCTCTGTTTTCTTTTTTCTCCTGTAATTCTCTCTCACTGCATCATCTCCAGTCGAGGGAAGCCATGGAAACGATGGGCTGTTGCTGGGGCGACCGTTCGAGGAGCCCGACCAGCCAATCACAGAGAAGTCCCTGCTGGAGATCCTGGACGGGGTGGTGATGATTTACAATCTGAGCGTCCATCAGCAGCTCGGCAAGGTAACTCAACTGAACAGGGCAAGGCATGACAAAGCATAACATAACATCAAACAAAGCTGAGCACAACAGCAGCACAAAACCAAACAAAGTCAAAAAATGAAACAAAATGATATTAATAACAAAAGTGAACACCCTGCCTTTTTTAAAGCTGCTTTGAAACGATAATTATTGTGAAAAGCTCTATACAAAAAAAAAACTTGATTTGAACGGAATTTAATACAACAAAAGTGAACAAAGCATGAAACATAACCAAAGCAAAATATCCTGTATCTGCACAACAAATTAACAAATAAATAAATAAATAAACAGATGAATAAATAAATAAATGAATAAAAAATAAATAAATAGATGAATAAAAATAAAAAAGACAAATAATTATTAATAAAATAAACAAACAAACAAACAAATAAATAAGTAAATAAACAGACAAACAAACAAACAAACAAAAAACAATCAGACATTTATAAAAATAAACAGACAAACAAATAAATATATAAAAAAATAAATTACTTAATAAATAAATAAATAAATAAACAGATGAGGAAAAATATATAGACAAATAAATAAATAATATTAATAATACAAACAAAGACATAAATGAGAAACAGATAAACAAAAATAAAACAGACAAATACATAACATTAACAATACAATTATGTAAACAAACAAGCAAACAAACAAACAAATAAATAAATAAATAATACAAACAAATAAATAAACAGACAAATAAATAAATTCATACATAGACAAATGAATAAACAAAGAAGTAAATAAATAATTAAATAAACAAACAAACAAACAAATAAATAATGGTGACGCTGTGTATAGCGCATGTGTTTAGACTGTAATGGAAACTGGAGCACCTGGAGGAAAACCCACGCCAACACAGGAAAAACATGCAAACTCCACACAGAAATGCCTTCTGGCCCTGCCAGGACACAAACCACTGAGCCACAGTGCGGCCCAGAACAAAACAAACATTAGATTATTGTTATTAGATTAGCTTGGAACATAAAGTCAGTTCCTTCATCTCCACAATCAGTGATTTTACTGAAGTAGTCGTTTTTGATTCAACAGGATCTGTAAATCTGAGCCGGCGTCTCCAAACACACAGATAAACGCTTTTATTTATTTATTTATTTGTGTGGACGTGTCGTTTCTTTCAGCGGTGACTCATTGCAGGCTGATACGCAGACTGTGTCCTGCCAGCAGATGTTTTAATGTTTCCCTCTCTCACAGCGGAGAGAGAAAAGAGTCAAACATAAAAAGCGCGTGGTGAAGTGTGTATAATTCATGCTCTGCGTAAAGTGCTTCGCTCGGCACAGTTCTGCTCGACATCAACCTTTGTCTCCCTGTGTGTGTCCTTACGCTTTAAGAAAAGGGATTTCAATCTCGGAGAGTGATTGCTTGCTGTAGTAAAAGAGATTTGCAGCCTTTTTTTCCTTCGCTGCTGAATTTTTTGTGCATATCTTGGACTTTTCTTTATGTTGGAGAATTATTTGAGCAGAGAACAAGTGAAAGTTTGCTTATCTTGTTCTGAAGAGTTTTACTCAGTCAGTTTTTAACTTAAATTCTTTTTAGTTAACACACGCACAAACATGCAAAAAACAAACCAAAAAAAAAAAAAAATGATAAAAAACTAGTTGTCAGTTGAAAATGTTTGAGTTTATGATCCCTAACACACATCTGGCGCCATAGGCCATTACTATTTTCAGACCAGCGCAACAGTAATTTTCACGTTTTGCACCACGTTGTTTAAATGGCAAATCCAACAAAATAAAGTAAAAGTAAAGTAAAGAGAAAGTAATTAGGCTGAATGGAGGAGGCTCGTTCTTTATCCTCACGCTGCAGATGCTTTGTTTTAGCTGTTTTCTCGCTGTTTTACACTTACACAGTCCACTATGTAAATAGCAAATGCGCCAAGACGTTTTGCACCACGTTGTTTAAATGGCAAATCCATTTGCCCCACTGTGTGGACTCATAAGTGTGCTGGTCTATAAAAGGAGGTGTGTTAAGGTGCATTGTTGATGTGTTGCTATATTGAGGAACTGAAATAGACTGCGTCATTGACCAACTGAAAGCTGCTCTAAAGTCCAGCACAGAGCGCGTTAGTTATGCTTCACGAAGGTTCAAATGTGTACACACTGCTTAATACACACAGGATGTGCAACAACACACAATTATCTTTCCAGATAAAAACAATTAAAGGATTAAAATGATACAAAAATTATTATTTTTCTACGTTAATATAAAATTCACATGCCTTCTTTACTTTAAGGTTCATTATTATTGTTCATTTATTCGTTTGCTGGAAATTAGAGCTGAATTTAGAAATAGTTTTGAAACAAAGCTTTGTGCTTAACAAACTAAATTAAAGATGTCTGCTAATGGATGTCTTCAGTGCAGTGAGTTTTCACTGTTTCTTTACTCCACCAAAGTAAAGGAGTAAAGAGCAAAAGTAAAGTAAGGAGAAAGTAAAGAGGCTGAATGGAGGTGGCTCATTCTTTATTCTCGTGCTGCAGATGCTCTGTTTAACTGTTTTCCTACTGTTTTTACACTTACAAAGTCCACTTTGTAAATAGCAAATTCGCCAAGGTGTGGCGCAACCAACTGTTAAAGGGAATGTGAGATGAGACTCTGATTGGTTTAATGCTCATTATGCTCAAAACACACCCAGAACTCATTAAAACAATAAGCACATCCCTGTTAGACCATGTGTCAGAGCACAGAACGTATTTTTCCATCCTTAACATAGCAAAAGTGGATTCGAACACGCCCTTAGTGCTTTTGCTTTTGTGCCTTGTGCCTTTAGACTTTGCGTTTAGATTCCTACAATAGAGTCAGATAGTGATATCTCACAATGGTGATAATTTTAAGAAAGTTAAATAGCAAATAAACAAAACCAAACCAAAGTTAAAAAATAAACATAACCAAAGCATAAAGCAACAAAAGAAAACAAGCACGAAATAATAAAACAAAACGAACATGTAAAATAACAGCAAAGAGTAAAATAATAGAAAAGGCAAAGGCAAAGTTACAAAACAAAACTAAAGCAGAAAGTAACAAAAAATTTGGTAAAAAATAAATGAAACAAAACAAAATGTGTAAAGGCTGGTTTACACTTCTGCGTCGAGTGATTGGCATGACCCATGGCGCTTGCCTTTCGTGTTGCTCGTACATTTATACTTTTGTGTGCTGTTTGTATTGCTCTGCAAAAATACTTCTGAAACACTAGCTGGCAGTAGGTTTTTATGCTCCTCTGTCGACTTGAGTTTCTTTGCATGTGTTGTTTTACTTTTTCCTAAACAAACTCGTAGCTAAAACTTGTTTATTCAGAGGCGGGAACCGACAGGTGTGCAACAACGTTAGTTATAAGGTAAGCACAAAACAACAGTTTTACAAAACAACATCTAGAGCTCTTTCACGGGACTCGATAGTTGTAAACACTTGCTCCAACAGGTTTGTGCGGTCACACCAGTCACAGTTACCAAACTGACCAATCACAGAGCTTACACTATGCGTCGTTGCGATGTGTGCTGGACGCAAAAGTATAAATCAGCCTTAAAATAAGACAACAAACCAAAATAAACCAACAGAAAAAATTAAGTTTAAAAAAATTAAGCAAAAACAAATTAACTACACAAAATCGATGTGTAAATAAAACAAAACCAAAGCGTAATGCACCAAAACAAAAAACACAAAATAATAACGTGTCAAGTATCAAAACAAAAAAAATAACAACAAAAAAATCAAGCCGTAAATAACAAAACAAAACTAAAAAGTAAAATAACAAAACGAAACCAACGTGTAAAATAATAAAACAAATCAAAGCTTAACATAACAAAATCAAAGTATAAAATAACAAAACAAAACCAAAGCTTAAAATAAAATAAAATCAAAAAATTAAATTAAAATCACACCAAAACCAAAGAATAAAATAAAATCAATCCGTAAAATAACGCAACAAAACCCATTTACATTCCCTGTTGAAAGCAAGTCTCCAATCAGATTCGGATGGCAGAAAAAAAGATTTCTCATAAATAATGTCTTAAATCTGGTCTGTTTTTCATCCAGAAGGCCATATAGCTTCAGAAGGTTTGGGGTGTGAGTCACACAGGCTACTTTTACGGTGCTTTTCAGATCTTTTTGGCGCTTGACAGCTCTTTTATTGTGTGGAATATTTCTCCATCCAGAGCGCTGTAAACGATGACACAATTTTTCTTTTTTCCGGGTGAACTTTAAAACCTGAAAATGCCATCGAGTCCTCTTCTTTTATTCATAAAGTTTTAATTAACTCTGAATGCGATGGTGAAGAGCCAATCAAATGCATTATTGAAACGGCTCTGAATTGATTGTCATGCGAGAGCTTTGGGTAATTTATGAAACGAGCTGTCATTCATCAGAAGAATGTTTTGTGTAACTATGGAAACGGTGCATCATCTGGCCGCTGTTAACCGTAGCACAACATCCAGCTTTATGAAAATAAAGAGAGACGTGTGACTGGCATTGAAAAAGCAAAGCATTCAAGCTTACACTCAATAGATCTGGAGATGAAGGTATGAAAAGCTGGTGTGGAGGTGAAAATATTGTGTTTTTCTTTTGTCTTTGTTTTTTAATCCAGTTTGTATTTTAGTGTATCCAGCAACAGTATGGAAGATGAAACCTGTAAAACAATAAATAAATTGAAGCTGCAAGCAGCACTGAAAGGGACCTTGCACCTGGGCTCACCGCTAGCCTTAGGATGACAAAGAACAGCGGACAATAATAATTTAAGCTCATGAATGTAAAACACACCTGACAAAATCACAGATTTATGCCAAATTTTGTTCTGTCAGCAGGTGGCGCTATAAGTGTGACTCAATATTGTCATGCAAACGTCTTAAGGAGAGGAATCTCAGCAAACCTGTGAATTTTCAGGCAGATTGGAGATTGTGTGGCTGAGTTATAAGTACTTCCTCCTCCATCGCAATACACTTAACTTTGTCAGTCCGCCACAGACACACCCTTCGATGAAAACTCTTTTTCCTGTTGCCAGCAGGTGGTGCTGTAACCATAACTGGATATTGGCATGTAAACGTGTTCAGGTCAGGCTCTAAGTAAGTGGTTTAAATGTGCCTCTGAACTCGAATACCCCGTTCTAGAATGCATTTAGGAAATTTTTATTAATGTAAGTCAGGATTCTCGACCTGAGTAAATAACAATGTGCCCAAAAAAAAAAATAAATAAAATAAACAAAACTTCAACACACTGAACCACTACAGCCTCCATTGTAGTATTGCTAGTTACAACAGTACAGTTAACTGTTAACCATTAACAGGCTGATAAATGAGAAAACTATTTAAAACTTTAAAGCTTTAAATCTTTAGATAAATTTAGACTCTCAAGAGCCTAGCTGTGCATAGGCATAAAACGCATAAAAATGGCATAAAAACTGTGTAAAAGTGATGACTTGTACACAAAATATGGCTTGATGGAATCTAGTGAGAGCAGACCACAATGAACACTGCGCTTGAAGATTTGATCAATAGATTAAAGCATTGAAACCTTGTCAACTCAACTGAAATCTCACAAAAATTAATCCAGAACATGAATAATACAATTTGAAATGTTTTAAGTAAAGTTGATAATTTGAGGGGTTTTTTTTTGCATTGTTTTTATTTTTCTGGCGGGCCCTTAAAGAATTTGCCCTACACAAAGGGGTCCTCGGCTAAAAAAGTTTGAAAACCCCTTTTTAGATGACAATACCCAATTATGGTGTTGATCTGATAAAATCCTTAGGAGGAGTTCATTAAAATACAGCGTAGGGATGGGCGATGTGGCAAAAAAAAAAAGGAAAAAAAAGTTTCATAAAGTTTGACCAATTCACGATTTAGATTTTTATTTTTTTTGTAATTGTTTAACTAGTCAACTTAAAACATTACAACCACATGCCTGAAGTAAAAAACCATCTGGTTAAGAAATATTGTATTTTTAATGGGCTTGCCATACGTAAATTAGTCAACAAGGTGTAAATAAATGTAAAACAAATTACAGTTTTTCTTGATTTTGTTGATGCAGCCGTCACCTGAAACTCCACATTTTCAAAAAAAACAGTTAACACACAGGCCTAAACAGCGGCACTCATGGTCAAAATGACACATTTTGCTTGCAAAGCGCACATACCGTGTCAAAACATTTAAAATATGCAACAAAATCTAGTTTTACACAACTTGCAAACAAGTACATGAGCTCTTTTAATTAATCATTACACAATGGACAACAAAATACAGAACTCAGGGTGAATCAGTGCACCATTGCTTGCCATTGTAGCCTATTGCCAATGCCATTTGTTGCTTTCTATTTGGGCTGTCAGATTTGCCTTTTTGCAAAGAATTGGATCAAGAATAAGAAATGCTTTGATTGAATTTATATTTAATTGAAAGTGTGGCTGAAAGCTGAAATACTGTATGTGTGTATATATATATATATATATATATATATATATATATATATATATATATATATATATATATATATAAACAGACAAAAAATTGTAATAAAATACCGTAAATATTACAGAAAACACATGTAAACCAATATACAGTCAAATTTATAGGGGGTGTAGGACATAGCCACTATTGACCTCCTCCATACCATGCTGGCACAGAACAACACACACCTTCCACCGTTTTTAATGTTTGCAGACTGATTGCTAATTGAAGATTTGTGTGAAGGAGTGTCAAACCGGTGCTTAAGTGATTTCATTCTGATGTTGGTAGTTCTAATGTCTAGGTGTAGATGATTTCTGTTTGGTTATCATAGCTAAAACAATGAAGTTTGGACTGCTTGAATGACATCCGTGTTAACTGTTTTGAAAAATGGTGGGAGAAAATGTGTCAACCCAATGAGAAGGAGTTTACACATTTGCAAGACCTGTCTTCTGCTCTGCTTGGATAGTGATAATGAAAATAAAGTGGTTCCTAGTTTTTTTAACCAGGTCAAAGCAAACAGGAAAAACTGTAAACAGTTAAATATCGTTGCAGAAGATTTGAATGAAATATTAAATTAAATATTGTACTCTTTGAATTAAACATTAAATACTTCTGTTCTGAATAAATTGTAAGAAAATAACCAGCCGGAACTCAAACCAGCAACCTTCTTGCTGTGAGGCGACTGAGCCACCCTTTCGCTGTTGGGACTCATACCCATTTTACTATTCTGTCAAGCCAATATTTTTCCTTCCTTAATTGCTTGCGAGTGATCATTGTAAACTCTGCTAATTAGTCATTTAGGGAATCCCTTTCATCCGAAGGGATGTGCAGAGTCAGGGGTAACCCAAGGTTAAGCACCAATGTCAGCGCTTGTGGGATTTGAACTTACAGCCTTTTTGGTTCGCAACCAAAATCTTTAACCACGCCAGCAGGAAATGAAGAAAAAAAAAGGGTTTGCTCTTCATTTTATAGGTCTCAAGGTTTTCCCCACTGCTGACACGACATAACATTCATTTAAATCTGTCAGACACTTTTTTTATATACTTTAGAGCAGGATAATTCGTGAAAACTGCTGCACAAATCAAATTTCCTTACAAATGAAAGGGAAGAGTCTGTTATCGATGTGATCCTTATGACTTCGGAAGCAAATTGAAAGTGGCTCGTGATTTTTCTGGAACTCTGCTGGATCCTGATGAGATTTACGCCTCAGCTTGTCAAGAAAAACTGTCTGGTTTGACTTACACAGACGTCATAAAAGCGTTGTTAATTGGCTTGGCACAGTGCCGTCAGAAGGCCTGTCTGCAATATTGATATGCTGGAGAATCCAGTAGCAGCGTGAAACATCTCCACCACACCTCACTTTTTTATTTCCACTGATTTCCAGAGAACTGCCTGACCATAATATCAATATGTAATCTCAGCCTCATATTTTGGGAACAGCCTAAAGCACCCTTTCATAATGGAAATGGGCTGCATAATGTTCGAATTATAAAAGCCTGCCATTGAAATATGCTCTAGTGAAGTTTGGAACTCAAAGGTCCCTATCATACACCCCGGTGCAATGTGGCGCAAGGCGCGACGCAATTGTTGTTTGCTAGTTTCAGCTTGGCGTGAGAGTCGTTTTGACGTTTTGCGCCACGCTGTTTAAATAGCAAATGCATTTGCTCTCATATGTGCGCCCGTAGGCGTTCTGGTCTAAAAATGAAAATATCTTGAAAATAAGAATTCTAAAGGAGCTGTTGACGTGCAATTTGATAAAAACAATGGAATGACAGAAAGAGAAATTGTTGAACTACTGAAATGTATTTAATACTTTATATGAAAGGCTTTTTTTAATGATGAGAGCTTTAAAGACGCCTCTCATATGGAGAATGAAGCCTCATGCATTGCTCGGGTGTCAAAATCTTGATGGTTCTGTGGGTCTCGTCTATCAAATCTGAGCTTTATTCTGTATTCTCTATTGGATTCAGTTCAGGTGATTGACTGGGCCATTCTACAACTTGATTTTCTTTCTCTGAAAGCATTTGAGAGTCTCCTTGTCTGTGTTTTGGATCACTGTCTTGCTGAAATGTCCAAACTGGGTTCATCTTTATCCTCCTGCTATTGTAGATGTTGGACTGAAGCAGCTGATATTCATTTACACTGAGGAAGGGCGGAGGGTTGCTGAAGAACTGCTGAGAGATTTCAGCTGCTGTCTGGGCTTTCACTGCATTTCTACACCTTTGTTTCTTCATGTGTTCAACACTTCTTCCCTGCATCTTTTTATTCTGCATAATTAATTTGTAAAATAATTAGATTTGTTCACTTTGCATATATGGATTTCTTTGGTTGATATAAACATCCGGGGAAATTTCAAGTCAACAGCACCTTTAGAAATATGTTTTCTGAGAAATATGGCTCTTGACTTATTTATTATATTCAATTTTGGTTAAATGTTTAAACTGAAACTCTACAAATAAATATATTGATAGAGGTGATTGATAATAGTGTGTGTGTGTGTGTGTGTGTGTGTGTGTATCATTCAATCATTACCTTATCCTCTACCTAACTTATCATATTGAGTTTTTTATTCCCTTCTATTTACCACAAAGATATTTTGAGGACTATTGAAAACCAGTAACCCAGGACTTACATAGAATCTTTTTTTTCTCACAATGGATATCAGTGGCTACCAGTTTCTGACATAATTCAAAGTATCTCCTTTTGTGTTCAGCACAAAAGAGAAACTCATAAAGGTTTTGAACCACCTGAGGGTATTTTTTTTGTCTGAACTATCTCTGTAATACATCGAACATTTTGACAGACATCCACTTTAATGTGTCTTGTAAAGAGGCTCTATCAGGAGGATCTGTGCTGTGGTCGGTGTCACCCACTGAAACCCTGTCTCCTCTAACAGGACAAGGTCACTGTGGTGATAATTTTCCCTTTTCTCCTACTTCTAAAATTGCTGGTTATTTTGAACTCCGGCTAGCGATTATGTTGCCGCAGGAGAACAAGGGCAATTTTCTGTAGCTATAAGCTCACGGTGAGTTTATTTTTTCTTTCTGTGTGTGTTTTTCTCTGCAGATGGTGGTGGTTTCTGATGATGTTCATGAATACGCCGTCGCCCTGAAAGACACGGAGGAGAAGATCGCAAGATGCCCGAGCAGAGTAGGACCCCTGTTTACAATTGACATCGAAATGATTATGCCTCTTGTGCATTTATATTTCCAAAATGATGTTTAACAGAGGAGGGAATTTTTCAAAGTATTTCCTATAATATTTTTTCTTCTTTTTTTGTTTTATTTCAGCTAGAATAAAAGTGTTTTTTTAATTGTTTTAAAACTTTAATTTTAAGGTCAATATTATTATCAGTATATCTATTTTTTCCAAAGTCTACAGAACAAACCATCATTATACAATGATTTGCCTAAATACCTTAACTCGCCAAATATAGTAGTAATTGTCACGGTTTGGTGAGGGGAAAAGGAGTGAGGACTCCGAGAGGAGAACAAAATGGGTTTTTATTTATAGTAAAAAATAAAATAAACAGCTAAATAAACTACCCCGAGGGGGAAAACATTAATGAAATAAATAAATAAACAAACATACAAACAAACTTGATTGGGCAGGCTGGTAGGGATTAGGGCTGGAACACATGACAGGACATGGAGTGAAACAATGACAAACTGGCACAGGACAGCAGACATGAGGAGAACATAAGCAGAAGTAAATTAACACAAGCAGGTGAACCAAATAAACTAATTATGGGTTACCAAGGAGGGTGGGACTAGACAATAGACGGCAGAGCACATGACACAACGAGACAACACAAGCCATGTGCTCACATAAAATGAGACTAGAACACGCAGCCAATGAGAGAACTCATTAACCACATGTTCGTATGACAAGACAAGCACAACACTGAAGCACACAACAAAAGCACGCGGCCACAATGTAAAAACAGGGTTACATGCTTAGACAACAGATGCAAGACACGAGCACACGATAGATGAAAACACCTTACTGTGCGCTCACACTGTGCGCATGTTTCATCTCAGCGCCAACCAAAACCGAATCCAACTAGACGGAGATGCTGAGAATGAAACAGCGCGATGCAGACAGAAGAAAACAAACACAAGCACAAGAGTGTCTGTTGTCTAAGCATCATGCGGGAGCGCGCACGGTCTGTGCGCACTCACGACGGCGCGCACCCAGAGACACACACAATGACAAAACAAGTGCTCAACCCAAGAAAACTAGAGCCGAGCACAACAGGAAAGGAGAAGACAGAGCTAGTGTCCGGACTCTGCCACCAAAACAAAAATTTACAAGACCAGAGTGCCGGAACCCTGACAGTAATGCCTTTAAATGTCACTTAGCTGAATACTAGTGTCTTGAAAAATATCCAGTAAAGTATTATGTTCCGTCATCATGATTATATGATTTACATGAGCAATATCCCACTCGTAGCAATAAGATATGGCTGTATATTGTTACTGGTAGGAGGCGTTCGTTGGCTTGAGGCCGCAGGCCAAGTGCCTTTGTGTCCCACCAGTGCTGATATACAGCCATATCGCACTGCTAAGAGTTTGATATTGCGTTTATACAACAGTTTGACACCATAATTGTGTATGTAAAAAATAGAATCAAACACTGAGAGTCTCAAAAACCCTTTTGTATGAGGAACTACTTTCTTCCACCATTCATTCACATTTGCAGCTGACATCAGAACAGCAGAAACCATTGCTACTACACAAACGTCACTTTAGAGCTAGTGTTTAAATATTTCTCTGGTGCAGAGGTGGGCAAATTACGGCCCGCGGTAGGTCTAATATGCCTACAACCTAAGAGGCCGATCACACCGAACGCGCATTTACGTTCCAAAAACGTGAGGTGCATTTTTGTTAAAAAAAAAGAAAAAAAGGAGGGCGGTGCGCTTTTTTAATGTCATTACTCAACGACTAAATCAGCTAGGTATTTTGTGAGAGTGTTGCTGTTGATATTAACTTTATTTTCAGGCTCATTGTTCACATTAACACACTCATAATAACATGACTCAAATTAACAAAGACTACGATTCTTCTTCCGTTTTATCTAATAGTTTTATGATTGATAAGAGCACATTAATACAAGCTCAAATGAGATAGTTGTACATTTGACTCAAATTATATAATAATTACTGGTTAAATGTGTTAATTTTTGTCATGGAATATATTTTTCATGCATACATTCACTTTAAAGTTCTTTTATCAAAGATTTGTGGTTTGATCAAGGTTTACGACGATTGATCTGTATATTTTAAAGGCAGTTCAAATTAGATTATTGTAAATTTGACTGAATAGTAAACTTTAAGAATTATTTTTAATGTGTTAATTTGGGATTTTTTCTATGAGACAATATCTTTTCTATTCTCCGCTGTAAATAATTAATAAAAATAATTATTATTATATTTGATAAGTGATTATTTTATTGTTTTATAATGATAAGTAAATATAAATAGCAGTGCAAATTCATTTGACTCTATAGTAACTATTAAAAAAAAATCTGTTTTGTTTTAATGTGACATGTTTCTGTCCGATATTACATATTCCATGCATACTGCCACTATAAATAAAAGTTTTTTTTTTTAAGGATTTGACATGTGGCCGTTCACTTGGTTTGCAACACTTGATGTGGCCCTCGGGACTAAAAAGTTTGCCCACCACACTCTAGCGTAACGTCTAAAGTGATGACAAAACAGCTGATTGTGCTCACATTTTAAGATTATAGGGCTGAACAGCATGAAATGCCATCAGTCTACAGAGATTTCCCACTATTTCTCTGTTGCAATAGGGAGATCACAATAATTAACCACAAAAAAGCCAAAGCAAAGCAAACACTAGCAGATTACTATAGTAGAAATACAGCACTACAACAAACAAAAGAGAGAGATCATCGTAGAATGTCACCAGATTTATAATGATTTGATCAGCTGTAGTTTGACATTTACGCTGAATTATTTTCCCTAAGGACTTATTATGCGGTCTCTGTCACCATCTTGTGGTTGAACGTCAACCATCTTTGCTCTGCTCAGCATTACAGGCTAATGGCCACCAAAATTATAAATATTTTAAAATCGGCACTATCCGTAGAAGTAAACTGCATAGTTGCAATCTAACCAGCTACATTCTCGATTAAAAAAGCCTCAAAAGTACATTATGTTGTCCAACAGCTGCAATATTTGTCAATATTTGTGCAATATTTGTAGTGAGTTTATTGATCTGCTTTTACTCTATGTGGCCGGAGTAATACACAAGAAGCTGTACGAGTGCTGTTATTGCAGATTATCGCACGGCTATCAGCCAATGAGATTTGAGAACCAAATAGATCTGTTATATAAATTATATTAAGGCGGGAATTCTCGACCGATGGGCGGCGAGATAACTTAAAATTAACTTCTATATTATACTATAATTATTTGATTTCAATATTAAATGTGTCATATAATAAAATGATCAAATTAATGATCAAATGATCAAAGCAGACTGTGGCTTAAATTTCCAAGTGCTTCATGTCAACTAGGACTACGGTCTCAGTTGTATTAGCCAAACAGTCTCGGAAATGTAAAGATGATGATTAGAGTTATAATAAGGAGCTTGCACTTGCGTCACGTCCGTGACTCGTACTGTATCAGTCGCACAAGTCCGTTGATTCACAAACTATGCGTGCTTTGTGTGAACACTTTAAAATATCTGCATAGTTATAATAAGGAGCTTGCGTTTGCGTCACGTCAGCTAGCTCTCTGCAACTCCCCTACTGAAGCTAAGCAGGGCTGCGCCCGGTCAGTACCTCGATGGGAGACCACATGGGAAAGCTAGGTTGCTGCCGGAAGTGGTGTTAGTGAGGCCAGCAGGGGGCGCCCAACCTGTGGTCTGTGTGGGTCCTAATGCCCCAGTATAGTGATGGGGACGCTATGCTCAGTGAGTGCGGTCTTTCAGATGAGACGTCAAACCGAGGTCCTGACTTTTTGTGGTCGTTAAAAATCCCAGGATGTCCTTCGAACAAGAGTAGGGGTTTAACCCCAGCATCCTGGCCAAATCTGCCCACTGGCCTCTGTCCATCATGGCCTCCTAACCATCCCCATATTCCAATTGGCTTCGTCACTGTCTCCTCTCCACCAATCAGCTGGTGTGTGGTGTGCGGTCTGGCGCAAAATGGCTGCCGTCACGTTATCCAGGTGGGTGCAGCACACTGGTGGTGGATGAGGAGACCCCCCCTCCCCCCATTGTGTAAAGCACTCTGAGTGCCCAGAAAAGCGCTATATAAATGTAAGGAATTATTGTTATTTATTATTAGCTAACATTAACTTCCTGCGAGTGTTTAATAACTGACGCACGCCTATACATTAGGATCCAGCTAGACTGTTCCTGTCAGCAAACTCCAATAATGTCCAGCTACAAACCCAACCGCCATCAGATCAGTGTGTTTCAACAGATTGAGTGTGTTTTTAGGTTGTTTTACATTTATTTTTAATGGATATGATTAGTAGATCAATAGATGACCAGTAGTCAATCTGATTGAAAACAGCAGTTTTTTTGCCATCTCCTGTTGTCCTGTCAGGTTCATTTATTGAAGAAAAAGTCCCAAATACTATTATTAAAAAAAAAAATTAATAAAGAATTCAGGAGTTTTGGACCTTTATGTGCATTTTTTTAAATATTAAAATATATATTATTAAAATTTAACATTTTGTATGCATATATATATATATATATATATATATATTAGGTTTTTTTTTAAATAAAATGATGTAGAAAAAAATAATAGAATGCAAAGGAAATGTTTAGCTAATAAATAAAGCTTTAAAACAAGCATTTTCTCTAGAAAATCAGTTTGGCCCATCAAAAACATTTAGAGAGTGAGGTGGGCCTCGAATTGAAAAACCCCTGTGTTAAGGCATACATGTATTGAAACTCAAGGTTTCCTTTAAGAAGCTTTGCAGTATTTTTATTGTTGCTTTTTTATTCTATTATTTTTTGTTTAGTCTCTTTATTTGATCAATGTTTATGTGAGTGTGTTATTTCGTTTGGCAGAGGCCGGATATTCTCGAAGAGCTGCAAAAGAGCCAAAAGGTGTTTGCAGAAAAGCTGAACCACCTGAGTCGTAGGTTGGCCTGGATCAACGCCACCATCTACTCCAAGGTATCGCTGACACTCTGGCCAGAAAAACACTGGGAAACAGTGGAAGGCAGCTGTCATTTTTGTGTGTGTCCTGCATGATTTACTTTAATTTTACAAGGTAACACTCAGTGTGAGGTGCTGTAATGAGTTTTGACGATGTGCCCCATAAAAAGCCGACATTTAAGTTAAAGTTGGAATGGCTATTTCATTTTTATTTTATTTTATTTTATTAATTTTTTTATTAACTGTGTTTTTATTAAAGTTTTTATAAATATAGTATACAAATAACATTTACTTAGATTTTACAATCACCAAAAAAGGAAACAATTAGAAAGAAAATAATAATAGATATAAATTATAATAATAGATAAATAATAGTGACAGCTTGAACACAGTGTGAGGTGCTGTAATGAGTTTTGATGATGTCCCCCATAAAAAGCCGACATTTAAGTTAAAGTTAGAATGGCTATTTATTTTTTATTTAATTTAATTTAATTTAATTTAATTTAATTTAATTTTATTTTATTTTATTTTATTTTATTTTATTTTATTTTATTTTATTTTATTTTATTTTATTAACTGTGTTTTATATAATTTTTTATAAATATAGTATATAAATAACATTTATTTTAGAATTTAATTAGAAAAAAATAGATATAAATTATAATAATAGATAAATAATAGTGACAGCTTAAAGAAAATCAAATAAATCAAATAAATAAATAAAGAAATTATAAAAATAAAATAAAAAAGAAGGATGGGGGGGGGGATAAACAAATAAATAAATACATTCCAATATAAAGGCAAAAACTACGACAAAGACAAAGCCCCTGACAGCCTTGAAAGAATGGCTATTTACAAAAATGTAAGAAAAACAGTTTCAGAGATTTTTGTTGTCCATGCCAGTGTTTCCCAACCCTGTTCCTGAAGGCACACCAACAGTTTATTTTGGATGTCACCCTTATCTGACCCATTAACTTCAGGTTAGGGTTAAGCTGAACCATTATCTTCATTTATTAGCTGAACCATTATCTTCAGGTTTTGGAGTCTCTTCTAATGTTCTGATGAGTTGATTCAGGTGTGTTTGGTTAAGGGAGAGGATGAAAATGTGGACTGTTGGTGTGCCATCAGGAACAGGGTTGGGAAACACTGCCCTATGCATTTATCTGCACAAATATTAAACAATAATGCAAAATAAATGAAAAAGATGCTTTTTATTCAGCTGCAAATTTGCATAAATCTAGTATAATAATGTGTCAGTTTTAATTGGCTCCTTTTATTTATTTATTTACTTATTTAGTTGCACATTTTGCAAAAACGTAAAAAGTTTTCTATTTGTTTATCTCAAATAATAATCCTATTTACATGGGTCATGTGATTTATCTATCTCACCGTGACAATATTAATAATGCAGTGTTTACAAAAATATAGAACAATAATGCATGTGTTCTAAAATAAGCATATTATTTACAAGAATGTCCAGTATTTAGCTGCTGAAAATGCAGATTAAGCGAAAATATTGATTTGTTTCTTAGTTTTTAACGTACAAAAATACATAAATATGAAAAAATAAAAACAATAATCTATTTTACAAGGGATTTTTATTTAGGTATTTATTTATTAAGCTGCAAAAATTAGGGAGATATTCATTCATTCATTTTCCTTTGGCTTAGTCCCTAATCTATTAGGGGTCACCACAGTGGAATGAACCACCAGCTACTCTGGCATATGTTTTTCATAGCGTCTGCCCAATTGCAAATATATAAAACAGTTCATTAGTTTTAAAAGTGTAATTGTGTGTGTGTACGTGTTTTGTGACATAAGGACACAAATCTGTATAATGACATGGGTGTGACACAGGTATTACAAAAAGGAGGTGAATAGGAGGACATTGGTGACGTCCTCATATCTCAAAATGCTTATAAATCACAGAGAATGAGTTTAATCAGAGAGTAAAGCTGCACACAGTCTCCTGTGATAGTTGGGTTTAGGGGTGGGGTGGGGTGAGGGCAATGTAATATACGGTTTGGACAGTATAAAATGAATGGAAACCTATGTAATGTCCCCACTTTCACAAAAACAAACGTGTGTGTGTGTGTGTGTGTGTGTGTGTGTAGGAGAAGATGCTGGACGTGTACTGGCTCCTGCGAGTGTGTATTCAGACCATCGAGCATTCAGACGGCACCGGCTCTCTGTTCGCCTTCATGCCTGAGTTCTACCTCAACGTGGCCATGAACAGCTACAGCGCCCTCAAGAACTACTTCAGCCCCTCTAACTGCATGGAGGAACTGCCAGGTTCTCTCTCACTTACTGCCAGTGAGGGAAAAGAGTGTGTGTATGTGTGTGGCACTCATGTAGTGTTTCTGACTGCAGGTTATGAGGACACACTCATTCAGCTCGCAGCTATTCTCGCCAAACACTTCGCTGATCCTCGCATCGTCGGCACTGGTAAGAGAAACACACACTGATACATGGACTGTGCTACACACACACCGATACACACACGTTGTAGCAGTGCATTTTTCAAAGAATATCTATCTATCTATCTATCTATCTATCTATCTATCTATCTATCTATCTATCTATCTATCTATCTATCTATCTATCTATCTATCTATCTATCTATCTATCTATCTATCTATCTATCTATCTATCTATCTATCTATCTATCTATCTATCTATCTATCTATCTATCTATCTATCTAATCTGTCTGTCTGTCTGTCTGTCTGACCGTCCGTCCGTCCATCTATTTGTTTGTCCATAATTTTTCCAGTCTATTTTCTATCTATCCATCCGTCCATCCATCCATCCATCCATCCATCCATCCATCCATCCATCCATCCATCCATCCATCCATCCATCCATTAATCTATCCACATCTGTCCATCCATTCGTTTGTTAATCCATTTGCTTATTCATCAATCTGTCAATCCATCCGTTTGTCCATCCATCTATTTGTCCATCATCTGTCCTGTCTATTTTCTATCTATCCGTTCATTTGTTCATCCATCCATTCATTCATCCATTTGATTGTCCATCCATCCATCCATCCATCCATCCATTTGTCCATCATCTGGCCAGTCTATTTTCCATCCATCCATCCATCCATTTATTTATTTTTCCATCCATCCATCCATTGATCCATCCATCCATTTGTCCATCATCTGTCCAGTCAATTTTCCATCCATCAGTCCATTTGTTTATCCATCAATATGTCCATCCTTCCATTTATTTGTTTGGCCGTCCATCCATCCATCCATCCATCCATACATCCATCCATCCATCCATCCATGTTTGTCCATCCATTTATCTATCCATCCATCTGTTTGTCCATCATCTGTCCAGTCTATTTTCCATCCATCCGTTCATTTGTTCATCCATCCATGCATTTGTTTGTCCATCCATCCGTTTGTCCATCCATCCATCCATCCATCCATCCATCCATCCATCCATCCATCCATCCATCCATCCGTTTGTCCATCATCTGTTCATTTGTTCATCCATCCATCCATCCATCCATCCATCCATCCATCCATCCATTTGTTTGTCCATCTATTCATCTGTTTGCCCATCATCTGTCCAGTCAATATTCCAACCATCCGTCCATTTTTTTATCCATCAATATGTCCATCCATCCATCCATCCATCCATCCATCCATCCATCCATCCATCCATCCATCCATCCATCCATCCATTCATCCATCCATCCATCCATTTCTTTGTCCATTCCTTCCATTTGTTTATCTATTCATCTGTTCATCCATCCATCCATCCATCCATCCATCCTTCCATCCATCCATCCATCCATCCATCCGTTTATCCATCCATCCATCCATCCATCCATCCATCCATCCATCCATCTGTCCATCATCTGTCCAGTCTATCATCCATTCATCCATCTGTTTGTCCATTTAACCATTCGTTTGTCCATCCATCCATATTTAATCAATAATCTGTCTATTCTATTTTCCAGCCATCCATCCATCCTTTAATCCTAGTTAGTTTTTCTATCTGTCCAACCATCCATACACTCATTCATCAAATAGTCTGTTCATGCTCAGTAATTCATCATTCAAAGTTTATTTTCCATCCATCTGACATTTTTTTCCATACATCATCTGCCTGTCTGTCCATCCGCCCATCCATCTATCTGAAAATCTGTTTTTCATCCACCCACCCATCATCCATTCATCCACCTACCTATCCATCCACCTGTCAGACTCTTTTTCTATTTGCATTTATCCATCCATCCATGCATACAACCATCTGACCATCTATTTTCCATCCGCATGTCTATTTTCTCTCCCGTCCATCTATTAATCAATCTATTCTAACAATCCATACATTTTTCCATCCATCAGTCCAATCCCATGCCATCCATTCTTCCATACACCCCCGCCTGTGTTAATATTCTTCCACCATTAACTGCAGGAAAAGACTCAGAACAGCGCAGGCCCAAAAATACGTAGAATAATCAATTCGTGGCTGCTTTAATGGGAGTTCTTTAACCTAATATAGCCGCTGGCTCGTACCGTTCATCACTTCGCTTCATTTCTCACGTAAAGGTATAATTAACAGCTTCCTCTCTCTCAGCTCTCAGGCAACATGAAGTCATTTGTGTGATGAGTTGTAGCCGCAGTATTTCCCTAATCCCGTTTTAGGTGAGGACGATGAAATGCTCTCGACGACTCAATCACGAGCGCTTTACGATATGCAGATGAACAGACGTTATTAGACACGACCCATTTGTTTACATTTTCATTTCATAAGCAGCCTTTTCATTATGTTTTGGCTTGGTTGACTTGGCTGATTTATTAATGTTTATTTATTTATTTTTTGCATATTTATCTTGTTTTCTGCCGGCTCTGTTTCCAAATACGTCGTTTTTAGTAACTGTATTTTAATATGAATTAGTTTAATGCTTCAGCGAGCTTTTTATATCAGAAAATCTGTCTATTTGTTGTTTTTTTTGGATCTTTTTGTGTTGATCAAGGACTTTTTTTTCCCTCAATAAAGAGAAATTCATTCAATTAAGTTAAATTTATCTTTATTTCTATAGCACTTTTACAATGTAGATTGAAGTTCAATTGAGTCCAGTTTAGTGTGGTTTAATTTTCACTGCTGAAAGTCCAAACACTGAAGAGCAAATCCATCAATATGCAGCTCCGCAAGTCCCAAATCAAGCAATTCAGCGGCGAATATGGAGGAACAAAATTCACCAATTGATCAAAGTGAAGGAAAAAAAAAAACCTTGAGAGAAACCAGGTCGAGGTCTGCATTCCCGAGGCTGTCCCGCGGGAGTGGTGGGACCCGACCAGATAAAATAATAAATTTCCGAATAAAGCGCGGGAGCGGTCGGTAACGGGTTTAATTTAGGACGGGAGCGGGCCGTCTAGCAATATCGCTCCCGACTCCCGAGCGAGCACCCGTATGTATGTGTGTAAATGAAATAGCGCGATGCTGTGTTTAGCTTGTTTGTTGCTGTGTGTGTGTGCGCACGCGCGAATGAGAGGTGTGTGTGCGCGCGCGAATGAGAGAGAGAGCTTTGCTTGTGTGTGTGCTTGGTGCTTGTGTGTGTGTGTGTTAGTGCGCGCGCGGGCGAATGAGAGAGAGAGAAAGAGCTTTGTCTGTGTGTGTGTGCTTGGTGCTTATGTGTGTGTGTTTATACAGACAGCTTGTTATAGACTGTCTGGACTCTGTATAGCTGGGTGGTTTTCGATTTTGTTTCCCCATCGCTCTTTAGCGGGATCAGGCGCGGTGGGTAGAAAACGGGGCGGGTCGGGCAGCGGGACAACAAATGCTGAATGTAAGCGGGAGCGGTCGGGTTCGGGCTAAAACCTGGTGGGTGCGGGTGGGAGCGGGATTTAAAATTTAGTCCGGCGCAGATCTCTAAAACCAGGTTCAGTTGGGCACGACCATTTCTTCTGGCTAAACTTCTTGTGCGGAGCTGCAGTCTAGGCGCTGGAGGCTGGAAAACGCTGGACGTCCATCGAGGTGAAGCTGCAGGTGTGAGTAGGGTACCGGCTGGTGATCCGACTGGCCCACTGGAAGTCTCACTGGAACCAGTCTCATGCTCTCCGCTGCTCCATGACTCATGCTCTCCGCTCCTCCATGACCGCCACAGCATCAGCTCAGGATACGGCCTGGTCCAGGATTATGGAGACCTTGACATCATTTCTTCACTGGTCTCGGATCGCATCAATGTCGCTGCGTAATCTCTCTTGGGCAAGGGTGTCAAATGTATGGCCTGCTGGTCAGATTTGGGGCCTCGTGTATCAGCGCTGCGTACGCACAAAAACTTTGCGTATGCCAGATTTCACGCTCACGTTTGGATTTACTAACGATGAAATGAACGTGAGAATGTGCGTTGGTCTGCTCAATAGCAGTTATATAAACAAACATGTAAAGCATATGAAAGTTTCTAACACAATTTCTGGTGCATTAAGACTGTAGGATTCATTGAATCTTCCCTTTTTGATGGCCATTTCCGTTTGCGACCCACTATTTCTTAAATAATTCATAGTGAACTGGGACATGCAGAGTGGAGACTTTATTGCTGAACAATTGATTGAATCATAAAAACTCCTCGAACATCCTCTCTTCCTCTTTATTTTCCATTACAGATATCAAAGATTCACTGATGCAGGCTTTGGCCAGTTACGTGTGTTACCCACAGTCCCTGCGGGCCGTCGAGAGGATCCCAGAAGAACAGTGAGTGCTTAAGCTGATGTTTTTATTTAGAATATACCAAGATGAAGCACTTCAAACTGATATAAGCAAATGTTTTGATCACATTCTGTTGTTTTCAGTGGTTCAGTTTTGCTTTTGTTTTACTCGGCTTTGTTTTTGTTTGTTTTGGATTGTTTTGTTTGGGAGGCTGTTTGTGTTTAGTGTTTTTGTTTTGGTTCTTCTTGCTTATCTTTTTATTTGTTTATGTTGGATTTCTTTGTACTCGTTTGTGTTCCTTTTGTTTTTGATTTATTTAATTTGTTTCATTTTGCTTTTATCTTTGTGTTGTTTTGCATTGTGTTTGATGCGTTTTCTATTGTTTTACATTTAGTTTAGTTTGTTTGTTTGCTTCAGGGGTTTTGTTTTTTGATGTGTATTTATGGTTTGATTTCGTTTGCTTTGCTTTATTTTTTAGCATTGTGTATTATGACTTTGTTTTGATGTCTTTAGTGTTTGATGTCTTTAGTATTTCTTTTGTTTAAAGTTTGCCATTGTTAGGTTTTTCCTTTAGTTCCCTTTTTTCTATGATTTAGTATTGCTTTTGTTTTGTGTTTGATTGCTTTACCCGGCTTTGTTTTTTGTTTGTTTTGGATCATAATATATATATATATATATATATATATATATATATATATATTTTGTTGTTGTCTTTGTTGTTGTGCATTTTATGTTTAGTTTAGTTTGATACAAGTAAGCACAAATAAGAAAAAAGTCCTATGTTTAATGTTTACTTTTGATTGTTTCCTTGAAATGAATTATTCTGACTTCAACTACATATATATATATATATATAAATATATATATATATTTGTTGAAGTCAGAGTTTTTCGCTGATGACTTTTTAATTGAATGTTTTGTTTCAGATTGTTTAGTACCAATTTTTCATTTAGATTTTTTTTTCCTTTTTTATGCTGCTTTGCTTGGTTGGTTGTTTGTTTTTGTTTTTATGGGTTTGTTTTGTGGTAATTTTCTATTATGATGTTAATTTTGTTTTGTTTTTGCTTGTTTTTTACATTTATTTTAAATCTTTTTTGGATTGTATTATATAGCTTTTTTTTGCTTCCTCCGTTTTGGCTTTAGTTTTGTTATGATCTTGAAACTTGCAACAATCTAGTTTGTAAATTATACACCATTATGAACAACCTGTGCAACCTCACACCTAAAAATTACATAAAACTTGCCAATTACTGGGGATTTTGTCATGTTGAGAAAGCTCCTGTTGTCTTAATCTGCTTTAATTTGTGCATTTAGTTCCTCTCCCCCCTGTTTTGTCATTTGTATAATGATTATTTCTAATATACCCCCTTTAAGGCGGATGGCTATGATGAAAAACTTACTGGCTCCATATGAGCAGAGACCCTGGGCTCAAACCAACTGGATCCTGGTTCGTCTTTGGAGGGTACGCTAATTTTCTTCGCTGCATTATCCTCCCCTTCACTCCTTCTTTTCATCTCCTCCTCTTCCTCCATTATGCCATTAGATTCCAGCTCAGAATAGTTGCATTATATCAGGGCCATTATGCAGCATATCTCCGCCATTTCCATTTTAACATTACCAATCCAGCTACTCCCATTTACTTATTAACATTTATTCAGCTCTCAGTGACTTAAATAAAAGGATGAGTTGTTTTATATCTCGAAAAGAAAGAACATTGGGTTTATTCAACCTTAAAGGTATGATTATGTGTCTGTTGGACATGTGTTTGAGTGTTGTTCTGTTGATGCCGGTTTAATTTATGATAATTTTAATGTTTCACAGATCGTTGGGCACAACAGACTGTCATAAAAAGCCACACATGAATATTAAAGTCAGATATTATCTTCCTAATTCCATTGTTTTTTATACATGTTCTGTTACTAACCCGATGCCAGTTTTAATCACTAGTTAATGCAGTCACATTAGGGGTGTATGATATTAGCAAAAAAAATCACAGGAGGGTTTATAATTTTGACTTTAATAGTATATAAACTACCTGACAAAGGTCTTGTCGATGATCCCATAAAGTGGCAGAAGGTCCGTTTTTCTGATGAATCACCTGTTGAACTGCATCCCAATCATCACAAATACTGCAGAAGACCTACTAGAACACACATGAAGCCAAGATTCTCATAGAAATCAGTCAAGTTTGGTGAAAGAAAAATCATGGTTTGGGGTTACGTTCAGGTGAGAGATCTGCAGAGTGGATGGCAACATCAACAGCCTGAGGTATCAAGACGTTTGTGCTGCCCATTACATTACAAACCACAGGAGAGGGACAATTCTCCAGCAGGATAGCGCTCCTTCTTATGCTGCCTTCACACCAGATGCGGAATGTGAGTCAAGCGCGAGTGATTTACATGTTAAGTCAATGCAAACGCGCGAATAGACGTCCTGTGGCGCGATACGCTCAAATGGCATGGCGCGAATGACGTAAATTGCTCGAATGGTGCGATACGCGTGCGAGTTGAGTGTTATGTGCATTTGACGCGGTTAACACGCATTTCGCGCGAATCGCTTCAGTTCGAAAATCTGAACTTCAGCGGACATTTGCTCCACGTTAACCAATCAGTAGCTTGCTCTTGTGGGGGCGTGATCATGACGTATCGCCTGCGGATGTATGACATATCCCGGTGGATAGCTGACACAGACAATAAGTTAATCAAACTTGGCTTGGCTCAGTCAGAAGCACCGCTGAAAGCCTCCATCATCCACGTTAAGTTTCTGGAGGAGTTTATGAGCTCAAAAAGCTGGATGCACCTCTGAAAGAATTTAGTGGACTCAGACACGACCCTAAACATATCTATGCTGTTTTTCAGCCTTCATAAAGCACATAAACACTGTTATTTTCTTCATAAAATCCATGTTAGCCATTTAGCAACGAAGCTAGAGTCACCGGGCAGACAGAAGCCCTGCTCATCACACAAATCCGCGTCTGTTCTGAAGTCAATTTGACGCGCGAATGAAGCGGATTTGACGCACGAATGAAGTGTGGTCTGATGCGCGAATGAAGCGAGTAAACTCAAATGTTCATGCGGCTATTTACATGCGATTAGCGTGATTTATTCGAGCATTCCGCGTCTGGTGTGAACGCAGCATTATACTTCAGCCTCCACATCAAATTCCCTGAAAGCAGGTCAAGGTGCTCCAGTATTGGCCAGCCCAGTCACCAGAAATTAACATTATTGAGCATGTCTGGGGTAAGATGAAGGAGGAGGCATTGAAGATGAACCCAAAGACTCTTGATGAACTCTGGGAGTCCTGCAAGAACGTTTTCTTTGTCATTTCAGATGACTTAAGTGATTTGAGTGATTGCAGAGATGTATGGATGCAGTCCTCCAAGCTCATGATGGAGTCAGACACAATATTCATTCTGTTTCCACCGCAGCATGCCTTTATATCCTACACTGGACATTATTTCTGTTCAGTGATGAGACTTTAGTCTAAGTAAAGTCAGACCTTACTGTCCTAATGAAATCATTTAAAATCAAGGCATGATCAGATTTTATTGTGATCAACTAAGTGTTATCTAGAGGCCTTTGCTTTTCATATAAGCCATTTCTGATACCAAATGATCAACTAGAAGTCAAGTTATTGGTTGTTCCTAAAACTTGGATAGGCGACACATTTTTTGTCAGGTAGTGTTCTTTTAGTGTACAGACTTTTAATGACTGAATAAAAGATTATTTTTGAGCAACTACTTAATAAAACTGCATAACATTTGATTCCGTGATTTTGCCGACTGTTTAAAGTGTTACGTTTTATTCCTCCTGTCTACAGGGTTGTGGCTTTGGCTACAGGTACACTCGTCTTCCTCATCTGCTGAAGACCAAACCCGAGGACGCCAACCTGCCCAGCCTGCAAAGTGAGTGGCTGTCCTGTCCTCCTGCTACTTTATTTTTAGCACAGCTTCAAAATGTACCTCTGTTTTTTGTCTTCTCAAAACTTTCGAAAAAACCAAAAAAAAAAAAAACATCTTTACTTTTCTATGCTCATTTCCTTCTGTGCCACTTTACAGTATTGCCGAAGCTTTTTTCACTGTACATAAAATATGGGAAAGGCTTACATCAATAAATTGTTCAAATATACAATAAATGATAAATAAATTAATTAAAATGACAGAAAAAAAGAAGCAAAAATAGACAAACACAGTCTCTATCTCTCTCGATTCAATTAAATTTAATCATTGTTTTATTGGCATGACAATTGTTATTAATGTATTTATAAAGAAATTTTAAAGTTTACATTTAAATATGTGTGTATATATATATATATATATATATATATATTTATATACACACACACACACACACACATATATATATATATATATGTATATATGTATATATGTATATATATATATATATATATATATATATATATATATATATATATGCAACACTTCTGTCTGGTTCTCAAATCTGATTGGCTGATAGTCATCCAATATTTTGTAATAACAGCATTCGTACTGCCTCTTCACCCTTGTGTATTACTCCACCCACATAGAGTGACAGCAGAACAGTAGATCAGAAGAAAGTAGTTCCTCACACAAAAGGGTTTTTGAGAGTCTCCGTGTTTGATTTAGATTTTTACACACAGTATTTTATCAAGTATAACACTATATATATTGCTGTGACGTAGTTTCAACATTTCTTTTCAAACCGGAAGAACGAATTTGCTCGAAATAACGCCAAAACAAGCAATTTTCACTTTATGGTGAAATATAAGTGTCCTAATAGTGTTTTTAGCAGCGTGGGACACAAATAGGACTGTCAACATCTCAAATAAGGTCTTTTGGAGTTAAAGTAGTTTAAAAAATTTAAAATACGCTATTAAATACTCAAACTATTGTCGTTTCAAACCCCTGATACCTTCATTTATCTTCAGAACACAAATTAAGTTACTTTAGCTGAACTACAGTGTATATTTTATATTTTAAACAATTATAATACTCTTGCTCTCACTCTCTCTCTCGTTGTTCCTTGATTACTTCTGTTGCTTTCTAATATAAGTGGCTTGTAAGTGTCTGCAAAATGATTAAATGTAAATGTAATATAAATGCAGTTTAATTAGGGCTTTCCGCTGATTAAAGACAAAATCAGAAGAATAAAATGGTAATTCATGGTATTAATATCAAGTCATATCCTATACCAGACTATTTACAAAGACAAAAACCCCCAAATTAATTTTATTTAAAAGCGATGGAAAGCATTTAATAGACAAAAAGCTGCCTTGGAAGTAAACTCATGTGAAACTCACTTTATTCATGTCCCACAATGCTTTTCCAATCAATCCCAGAATGCACTAGACTCATTTATACTTATAATAACAAGTCAAAAACACACTCGAGAGCTATTTCTCATTATAAACACTTCATGGAGCAGTCTTATTCATTACTAAATTATTAGTTTATTAGAAATATCCTTGAATTATGGCAGCTTCTCTGTTACTTTTTTGGGGCATTCATTCATTTTCCGTCAGCTTAGTCCCTTGTTTATCAAGGGTCGCCACTGTGGAATGAACCGCCAACTATTCCAGAATATGTTTTACGCTGCGGATGGTCTTCCAGCTGCAACCCAGTACTGGGAAACACCCGTACACTCGCCAACACGGGGAGAACATGCAAACTCCACACAGAAATGCCAACTAGCCCAGCCTGGACTCAAACCACTGACCTTCTTGCTGTGAGGTGTCAGTACTAACCACTGAGCCACCATACTAAGCCAATACATTCCTTTAAAACATATTTAATATCTAATTTCTGCAGGTTTTTAACAAAAGCTGCATATAAAAACAGAGCGAGTGGACGGGAATGACAGTATTCGCATCAATCTGATATTACTGTAAATATAGCTTGTTCTTTGTTTCTGTCCCTGGAATCTGCATCCCCGCTGACGCTATTATGAAGTGCAGATCATTAATGTCGGACGCTGAGTGCAGATGCTGTTTTTACTAGAGCGTTTTGACATCATGCCGATGTTCCGCACGACTGTAAAGAGTCTCATTTCGCTTCCGACTCGTTAAAGTCAAACCTGGCGCTTTCATGCACACTCACACTCAGGCTCGGGAAGGACGTGACTGTTCACTCGTCTTGGTATTCTTTCAGCAGCCTGTCAGATCAATAGTTTTTATCTGAGACTCTCCATTTAGGCAAACCGTCCACTGCGTGGACCGCAAATAGTTCCCCATATCAGATTACATTTAAAGGGGTAGTTCAGCTTAAACTGAAAATGCAGTCATGCCGTCCAAGATGTATGCTATTGACCTTATTCTAAAATGCGGAAGTGCGCCTGTTTTCGCGATTGTCTTAGAACTTCCGATTCAGTCGCCTATGGGAGAAATGACTAGGAATAATAAACGGCAGAATATGGTCAAACTACTTGCTCTACCAACAAATGTTTGCATGACTACACAGACCAAGTAGAATAATCTAATAAGAAAATAACAAATTGCAACATCAATCAGCGTAACGAGCAGTTTTTAACGTCAAAAATAAATGGAAGTGAATGAGACCGGAAGTCTCGAGCCATTAAGATTTAAGTGGCAGCGCCCGCTCGTTGGCGGAGAATAAGGTCAATACAGTTGGAATCACAATTATTTTTCCTCCAGTGAATTATTATTTCTTTCTCAAATATTTCCAAATTGATTTTTTTACAGATTGAGGATTTTTTTCACAGTATTTCCTATATTTTTTCTTCTGTAGAATGTCTTATTTGTTTTATTTCGAGTAGAATAAAAGCAGTTTTTAATTTTTGAAGCCATTTTAAGGTCTATATTATTTGCCCCTTAAGCAATATTTGTTTTGAATTGTCTACAAAATAAACCTCTGTTATTCAATGACTTTCCTAATTATTTTAACTTTAACCTAGTCAAGCCTTTAATTGTTTAAGCTGAATACTAGTATCTTGAAGAATAACTAGTCAAATATTATGTGCTGTCATCATGGAGATGAGAAAAGAAATAACTATTGCCATTTTAAGTCAACCCATCCCCATCCCAAATAAATTCCTGTGGCTCCTGACGATACGTCTTATGCTGTGTTCAAACTAAACACAGAGGTCACTTGCTCTAGTTTACTCAGGGGATGTTTTTCACTTGAGTTGAATTGTTGAGTTAAACATTCATAGTAGACGCAATTAAAGCACATTTCACACAGCCACTGCAAAATCATCTAAATCATTTACGCTGCCTGGCGGAAATTCACCTCTATTCCTACATTTACATTTATTTTTTTGTATGTAATCTACTCGCATGAATAGCCCAAAACATAATATTTGGTGCCAGGGCCGGAGTGGGACTCTTTTTCAGCCCTGCAGTTTCAAGCCTCAGACCGGCCCACCTCAGTTCACCACTGACTGTATTAAAATAAGGTTATTTCCAATTCAGTTTCTAATTACACTATCAAGTCTTTTTTTTGAGAAAACAGCTCTTTTAGAACTTCAAATGTTCAACAACCCTTACAGTATTATGTCTTAATAATAAAAATGAAAAAAAAAAAAAAATTGTTATACTCAGACAAGGACCGAACCCAGGTTGGCCACGTCATTGTCTAATTGTACTAACCACTGTACCACAACAGCTGTACGGTAAATGGTGACTTATCTAGTTATATCATCATTAACCTGCAGGCTGCATCCTGCTCACGAGGCTACGAGAAAATAGATAAAAAGAGCAGAGCTGCGGTAAAATAATTAATAAGAAGGCTGTGGTCAAGTAAATAAATAAATTATTTTTAAAAAGTGTGACTGCTGAGAGCAACAGATTCTGGAACTAGGGACAAAGGCCCTCGCGGCCAAAAAACGGACCGGCCCACCGGGAATTCTCCCGGTCCTCCCGATTAGCCAATCCGGGCCTGTTTTGGGCAACCAAATTTATTTATTTTTTGCTGCTTGTTCAAACTACAGTGACTGTAATTCCCACTCTTGTCCAGCTGATGGCGATTATTCTTGTTTTGTTTTCTCTTTGTTACCGCTGCGCACAGTTGCAAAAATGTCACAGCAGCTGACTGTAAGAAGTTTCTTTAAATGGCCAAATAGATGTGATATTAATAATAAAGGGGAAAAAAGAGGAAGTGATGCAGTGGACGATGAAGAACAAACAGACAAAAATACTCAGTCGCCAACAGCTGTTACGAGCCAACCCAGCGGCAGCAAGGAGGTCAGGTGCTTTGGAGTGCATTTTGAGCACTACCGAACGCAGAGGGGTGCAGAAGGAGCGCGTGCTGTAGTATTTTTATCCGGTGAAATGATTAACAGTTAACAGTTTTTTTTTAACAGAAAACTGTTAAACAGAGCATCTACTGCGTGAAAATGAGAGATAATGGATCTACTTTCACATTCGCTCTTGGATAGCGAAACCTTTACGCACAGACATCAATTAGTATATAAATATATACTTTTGTTTGTTAAGCGCAAATATTTGTTTCAAAACTATTTCTAAATTCAGTTTTAATTTCCAGCAAATGAATAAATGAATAATAATAACAAAATGTGCTCAAAAATCTGAGTTATATCCTAAAACACATGCTGTGCCCCATATGGTCTAATACCTTCAGGTGGGCAAATCTAAGCTTGTTTTTAATAAAACAAATATAAATATGGATATAATAAATAATACTGCTAATAATAATAACATTATACAAAAGCAAAGTGTTATGAATGAACTGAAAAAGCCTCGCGAGATGAAGAAGATATAAAAGCAGTGGTTTTTCATATTTATGTAGGCTAGAAAATAATATGTTTTGTAATATTTTAATCCTTTATATTTATATCCTATATCTTTTCTTATTATATCCTATATATATTCTTAATATTTACATTTTTTTCATGTGTAAAGATATTTGCCTATTGCTCTCTTGTGCGTATTAAGCAGTGTGTAAGCGAGGCGCCGGAGTTTAGACCGGGTTAGTTTTGGTCTAATGAAAAATCTATTATAGTTTCTCAAAATAGCAACGCGCCAGCGGTCCGCCTCAGAACATCTTCCTTTTTAGACCAGAAAGCCTAGGGGCGCACAAATGAGCGCAAATGCATTTGCTTTTTAAACAGCGTAGCGCAACGCCTCAAAACCACTCTTGCGCCAAGCTGAAACTACCAAAAGACTATAGCGCTGCGTCTTGCGCCACATTGCGCAGAGTGTATGATAGGGCCCTTAGTTCTGATCACAGCCTTAGGAGAAATGTTTCCTAACTACAAAACGCTGGCTGAAGTGGCGCTAGTAATTCCGGTCTTTTGTCACGAGAAGTCGACTTTCCGAGGCTAAGACACAGAATTTAATGACAACTCTACATCAGTCTCCCTTGATGCGCTTGATTACGCACAGGCAAGCACCCAGTTCAGGTCGACGCAGGAGGAAGATATGAATTAAGGCAGATAGGAGTTTTTGTTCGTTTGTCAAATAAATAAATGGATAATTTAGCTTACATGCTCGTCGTGCAAGTTCATTATTAAAATGTGAATGAAAAAAGTGATTACAAAAGTCTGCAAATCAAACAACGATCAATAATAGGTTATGACGGAAATTTTACAACCCTCTCCATCAAAATGACGGACAAAGAGAAAGTGTAACCATACATTCACACCGAAAGCGGCGAGAGCGTCCAAGGTCGCTTTGGCCGCCCTGGCGACAACGCTGTCTGCCTTCGGCTCCTGCGGCGAGAGCGTCAAAACTCGCTACATTGATCTCATATTTAAAGGAGCCGTTGCAGCATATCAGTTACATTCCTGCATAAAACATGTTTCTAGCGTGAAAATGTTGCGCACTTCTTATCAAATTCATATAACAATGGAAGATCAAGTTGCGTGTGGTGTGTCTTTGCTCTATTTATCCAATATGTGTCCATATGTCTGAAATATCCTGAAGCAGCAATACTGTTTTGTACTGTCACATCGCGTGAGATTCCCGCTTTTTTAAGATAAATTTATATAACATTAATGAACATCAGTAACTCGCCAGTAACTTATTTAATGTATGTTCCTGTAGGAAAAAATTGTAAATAATTGGAAATTTGGCGACTGCAATAATCAAACCCTTGGGAACAACTATGGTCGGAACCAAAGTTCACAGGTCTGTGTTCTCTGAACTGCTATCAAGCGATGGACTGATGGACATTCTGATTGCTTGCCGCCGAACCGCGTCATAGCTCATTACCATAAAGTTGACTTCATTTCAACTCTCCTCGATGCTCACGCCGGGGAAGACGCACCGCGCTGCTCCTCGCCGCTTATCGCCGCCGGCTCTCATTGAAAATGAATGACTTCGGCTACTTTGACGCTCTCGCCGCTTTCGGTGTGAACGTACGGTTATGCGACCTCTGGCTAACGGAGACCCGAGTTCAAGTCCCGGCATCGAGTTACTTTTCTGATCCTTTCACTCTCTTTTTGCTCCCTATGCTTTTCTATCATCACAATACTGTCGTATAAAAGTAAAGCTTAAATTGTTACTATTAACAATAGAAATTCTACACTAATCAGCTATTATGACGTTGATTATACAATCTAATCACTGTTGGTAAAGAAGATGACTTCATGTATCATTAACACTGTGTCTGATTTAGACCTTGAACTGTATCAAAAAGAGAATTACAATCATGATTCTTAATATCCATTAATTTGTCAATGGTTCGATCTTATATGAAGTGGGTAACGCACATCCCACATGACATTTGCATACTACAAGAGATGTGAGGGGCACTTAATGCTCGGCTGAAGGGGGAATAAATTGTGAAGTCGTCACTTTGTGAAAGGACACTTGAGCTTGTCTAGTCCTTGATGCATGAATTCCTTCCCTGGTCTGATACGTCTCGTCTCAATGCTAATTCCATCTTTTTCCACTCTCATTTGCATGACATCCAGGGGATTTGTCAATTGCTAGTTTTCAAAGTAAGTTTCGCTCCCGTTTGTCACCTTTGGCCGACCCTTATTAAACCCCATCCTAAGTGTGAGTTTGCTCTGATGTAGCCTCATTTAAATGTAGTGTCCATCTGACTTCCCCCCCAGTATTAAAGCTAGCTATAGATCTGTCATATAGGATTGTTTTGAAGTCATGTTTTGCTCCCTCAATCCCTTCTAGCCATGCCTTGTCCTTGCCAGTAGTTTGTTGTTGTTTTTTTACCCTCATAATTGTGCCAATTATCATGTGATTAATGTGTCTCCTCCGTGTCCTACTCCAAATCATTAGCTAATTACGCTGCTCAAAATGTAGGCTACAGTCCAAAATTCTGGATTTATTTGTGTGTGTGTATATGTATATATATATATATATATATATATATATATATATATATATATATATATATATATAGTTGAAGTCAGAATTATTAGCCCCCCCCCCCTAATTATTAGACCGCTAGTTTACTTTTTCTGTTTAACTGGGAGAAGATTTTTCCACACATTTCTAAACACAATAGTTTTAATAACTCATTTCTAATAACTGATTTCTTTTATCTTTGCCAAGATGACAGTAAATAATATTTTACTAGATATTTTTCAAGACACTTCTATACAGCTTAAAGTGACATTTAAAGGTTCAACTGGGCAGGTTAGGGTAATTAGGCAAGTTATTGCATAACAATAGATTGTTCTGTTGATTATCAAGAAAGCAAATAGCTTAAAGGGGCTAATAATTTTGTCCCTAAAATGGCTTTTAAAAAATTTAAAACTGCTTTAATTTTTGCCGAAACAAAACAAATAGGACTTTTTTTAGAAGAAAAAATATTATCAGACATACTGTGAAAATTTCCTTACTCTGTTAAACATAATTTGAAAAATACTTAAAAAAAAGAAGAAAAAATTTTGAAGGGGGCTAATAATTCTGACTTCAACTGTATGTGTGTGTATGTATATATTTATATATATATATATATATACACACACACACACACACACACACACACACACACACATATATACATTCTGTGTGCGATAATGAAAGGATGATGCCATGTACACGGTTAATGTTAGGCCAATTTTTAATCTGTTCAAAAAATGGTTAAAGCGAAAGCGGCAACAACTGCTGCTGCTCACAAAGAATCTAAAGCCCTTGAAGGACTGCGGGTGCACGAGCATCGCTCTAGTTTCGTTTACAGGCTAGGTTGCTTTGAGTGAGGAAACGGCACCGGAGCTATACCACACTCGCAAGTGAGGAAAGCCTGTCTCACCGTGTGCGTCATCCTCTCATTCGGTATTTACCTGCTTTCGTTTGCTACCGCGAAAAAGCTGTTTTAGTCAGTCATGCTGCTTCTCGGTTCTAAGATCACATTTGCACGCATATAGACAAACGATCTAATCTAGTGACGACAGGCCAGCACTAGCAATTTAACAATGAGTTTCAGTCAGCCATAGTGGCTAGTGGCTGTCTAACCCGCCACAACTGAAATCTACACGCTTTTGGCAGGTTGGCGAGTGTTAATGTAAAGCCCTGTCTATAAATACTGGTAATACTTCATAGTCACACTTTTAGGCTTTGATCCAAATTGTGCCGTTTTGGTTATTGTCGCTTTACAACCCTGAATCAGGAAAGGTTGGGACAGTATGGAAGATGCAAATAAAAAAAGAAAGTAGTGATATCTAAATTAACTTTGACTTGTATTTCATTGCAGATACTACAACAAACATTATTAAATGTGTTCCTTGTAAACACATATTCAAATTGAGTTTTTTGCAACACATTTAAAAAAAAGTTGGATCAGTAAAGCATTTACCACTTTGTAATGTTCCCGTTCCTTTTCACAACACTTAAAGACGTTTAGGGACTGAAGACACTAATGCCGAGTTCAGACTGCATGATTTTAGCCCCGATTTTGACTCGCAAACAATGTTATTTCATTTGAAAAGATATTTCATTTACGCCACTACAGTTGCAGCTCGTGCAAGTCGTGCTGGTATTACATTTTTTTTCGAAGGTATTAAAAAAGGTGGTAAAAGGTATTCAATTCAACTTAAGAAGTTCTGTATCTACTCTGTATAGGCAGCAAAATAAATTCCTGTGGCTCCTGACGATACATTGGTGGTCTTATGGTTTGTTCAAACTAAACACAGAGGTCACTTGCTCTAGTTTGCTCAGGGGATGTTTTTCCCTCGAGATGAATTGTCGAGTTGAGCATGCTACATAATGAACAATCTATATTGATATGCGTCATGTCAAGGTTATGAATCTTTCATGATAGTCCAAACTTAACTTAAACACTAAAACCTGAACCACACTGTTCCAGTTACTATGACCATTTATGTGAAGCTGCTTTGACACAATCTACATTGTAAAAGCGCTATACAAATAAAGCTGAATTGAATTGAATTGAATTGAATAGTCTTATAAATATGGAATCAGTTTAGTCTCAAGAGAAATTCATACAAAAGACATGATGTACACATGCGTAGCCAAATTCACGTGCATAAAATCAAATTCACGTGCCTAAAATATTTATATTCACAAAAAATGTTCACGTGCTCAAAATAAAAATAAATTTTCATAAAATACGTTTCTCAAATGCAAAACACCATTTGCAAATGTATAGGAGTGTACAAAAAGTTTTGAATGTTTAAAACTTGCGAATTCATTCTGAATGAGAGAGGATTTGCACATTCACGTACGACTCCCCCTGGATACGTGTGTGAGTAGTTTTGAGACTTTCCTGCCAGAGGCAGGGTAACTCGTACCTTTCAGCCAATCAGAGGAGAGCTGTAGTCAATGACACCAACTCTGCGCTTTATTTGCGCATACTGTTTCTCTCCAGCATGGCGAACGGAGAAAACAGCAGTCGCAGTCGCACTTTTTTTATTTATTTAATTATTTGACCATAGCCTCACTCTTTTTATCCATTATTTTGCCGCAGCTCCGCTCTTCTTATTTATTGAACTCGCAAGTTTTAAACATTCAAAGCTTTTTGTACACTCTTATACATTTGCAAATGGTGTTTTGGATTTGTGAAACGTATTTCATGAAAATGTATTTTTATTTTGAGCACGTGAAAAATTTTTGTGAATATAAATAAATATTTTACGCATGTGAATTTGATTTTATGCACGTGAATTTGGCTACGCATGTGTACATCGTGTCTTTTGCATGAATTTCTTTTGAGACTAAACTGATTCCATATATAAACACCTCATTCAAGTACGAGATATCGCAAATGATAATGGAGGTTTGCGTTCCCTTTAGGGGAGCTGAATTTTGCATGGTGTTCCTGTCTGTTTGTTTATTGGTTCTTAACCCAAAGCGATTTTAAATTGAACCAACTTCAGTAATGGAGCAATTTCTTGCCTAGTAATGTCCGTAACGTGCATGTCGTGCCTACTACCTGATCTCTGTTATGGCCTGCCCTCATTACCCCTGGGTCCTTGTTTTCCATGCTGCCACTTCCACAGACTTCATCTAATTAAACATAAAGGTTGCATCTCTATCGGAGACCTGCACCTCTGCGTCTAATGATTAGCTCTGTTTAGAGCTTTATTACCGTTGCTTGCTCTTGCTTTTAACACTCCGAGGCTTTTAGCGTGTTTGCCCGATCGCTGTGCTTTTCCAGATAAGGTATTAAATTACCCAGTGTCCTCTTTGTGCGCGTATAATGAGAGAGAGTGCCCTTTCTTTGTTCTCCAGACATGGTCAGATAGCAGTAATAGAATGTCTAAGGAAGGGCGGGAGACGTGATTTCCCATCAGCCCTCTATTTTGTTATCTGCTGTCGTCATTCTGTTGTGAATGCAGTATGCCGAGCTGAATGTTTACCTTCTCGTATGACCACCTTGGTTTAATGTTTGCTGCTTTGTCTCTTAATCAGTAATTAGGGTTGTGGGTTGAACAAAATCATTTTTGGTTTAAGGTATTCATGTGTGGTACTCGGGTGTTATGGGTAGACAGATACTGAGTGTGATGGAATGACTGTCTCCCCTAACAGCAACCTTTCGATTTGCCTTTCCTCTGAGAAATACACAATCACGATCCCTGTTAGGCGACAGTGATGAGGCATATTTGATGTTAATAGCACCACGTCTACTTATAAGCAAAGCACGCCTCTCCTCAAGAGACTGATCACTTATCTAATACTCTCATCCACTTTCAAAAACTAAAGTAAGAAAAAGGTTAGACAGATATGTGCGGGTGCTAAGAAAATAATCGAGGTTGAGTGGCATCAAGCCATGGCACACATCAGAATAGGCATATTCATATTCAACCAAAATAGACACATGCTTATAGGAGCACTACTCTTTTCTTTATACAAGTCCACTACATTTAAACTGTACATTTTTGAGCCCATTCAGCCCATCTCCAGGGGCCTCATGCATCAACGCTGCGTACGCACAAAAACTTTGCGTACGCCAGGTTTCACGCTCAGAATCGCTAACGTTTGGATTTACTAACAATGAACTGAACGTGGGAATGTGCGCAGCTCCACGGCAGCTTTCTGGCTGGCGTACGCACATTTTTTGTGCGTATCTGTTTTATTTCCATTGGCGACTCCTAGAGGCAGTTGTGTTAAATTCCTCTCTACAAAGTGTCTGAGCCGTGCAATGGCAGCTGTATGAGACGGGTTCATCTAGCAGGTATATAAGGTTTCCATACCATACAGTTGACCAGCCAAACATTGAAGCGCAATTTGCAGCAGTCGCCTGTTTTCCCAATGTAATCTGAGCGATCTACCGCACGCACATTGCTATAAAGACACTATCTGAAGATGAATTTGCATGCGTGAATCAGAAACATTTCCATTCAATAAATGTGCAAATAAAATATGTTGCACAGACTTATTAATGATTCCTACTTGTCTTTCTCGTGATAAATAGTCGGCAAAATCTGATATGTAGCGGGGAAAAAAAGAAGAAAGAGTTCATCAGCCGCTGGATTCGAACCGAGTTCATGCTCGAACGTGTCAATACATGATCACATGCGTCTTACGAGGTGCGCCACTGAGACTGTTAAGGGTACTGCAACATTTTACAGATATAAACCACACTATTTCTTTTTTTAATGCACTCAGTGCGATGTTCAGACCCAACTGTGTTAACCGCATCAGCTAAACTCTCCCACTCTATTTTTTTTCTTTTGTTGTTAATTCCGGAGAACAAACTTGCTAATAACACCGCTTTTCTCCGGTCTACCTCCGAAAGCAGCACCTCCAATTCACATTCTGTTCAAAGTTTCTCTTTTTTCTTGCTTTTGCCATTGCTTTTTCGTTGGATTTTGCCATTAGCATAGTCATTAGCATATTCATACGGGGGAGGAGGCAGGGAGGGGTTTTGTGCTCGTGCATGCTGCACTCAGTTTCACGTTTATTCGGATGCACAAAAGAATATGCGTGGGATTCGGCGTACGCAGTGTTTCATACATCTGAATTTTTTTATGCGTACGCACATTTACAGCTTTGTGCGTACGCAATGTTTTAGTAAGATTTCCACGCAAGTCTTCGTACATGAGGCCCCAGGTCTGGTGGGAGCACCTTTATTTTAATATCTTAACACCACTGCGTAATATCAATGCGCCTGCTTCAGTCACGGTATGGCAGCAAAGTTCCTTGATTATTACTTACAGATTTAAGCCTTAGCTGGATACTTTACTTCACTCAGAGCTGTGTTACACACTACCTGGAAGGGCATTTTCAAAAACCCATAATATGGCCTCTTTAAAAAGATACAGTGGAAGAAAAGGACTGAACATGGAAACTGTAAAGCCTAATTTAACCCAATCTGTGAAGTTGTGGACGCATAGCAGGAGCAAAAACAAGTACCAGATGTGTGTCTAATATAAATTAATATATTTAATCTATTTTTCTTTGTCCCCCTTTTAAATACCGATCATTTGATGCGCTTTGCTCCACTCTCTGTATTATGCTGCCTGATCTGTCTGGTTTTCAACTAGGTCCGCTAAAGTACCCGACGTCATGGGGGCGGGTACTTTCATTTTCACTGCTGCAGTCCCTCACTTCTACTCGTGTTCAAACCAAAACATCGACAAACTAATCAGATGGCGCTCAGTGGCACGGCTGAAATATGATCTGCGTCATGAATCGTGGTGCTGCGTGTCGCGTCACCGAGAGGCGCTTCTGGTGTGCTTCCTGCTTCATACAGAGTGAACCAAAGCGCATTGGTGCCATTATAATGTATTAAATATATATATTTTTAAAAATCTCGATTTCTCGATTTGATTCAAAATTAAATCGTCTGAAAACATAAATTCAAATTAATCGAAAAAATCTGAAAAATCGCCCAGCACTGATTGATTGATTGATTGATTGATTGATTGATTGATTGATTGATTCCTCGAGTGTTGAGTTTTGAATAGGAAAATTTTTAAAACTCTTGAATTTTTTTGAGCGAGATGCTAATAAAGCTGAATCAATATTTTATTGTTATTATTGGTATTTTATTGGTACAGTACGGTACACTTTCCCATTTCCACTGTCGTAAGTACTAAAATGGCAAACCATACCACTAATTAGGGAACCTAACACAAGAGTACGGTACCAAAAGGGTGGAGCTAGACTCATTGTTGAATGCTTTTGCTTACAGAGATTCGTCAATCGGACTTGCAACAAGTCAGGGGAATACAGCCAAAAACAACAACAACAACACAGTAATAAAACAAATGATGGTGCTTAGCTGAACCAAGGCTCACTCAAGCTCAAACAAAGCTTGTATCTTCTTGTGACAAACAGCCACTTACCAAGAAGCAAGTACGGGATCTGCTCCATGTCCTCCATTGTTGTTTATGGGAGACAAAAAGCAGAAGGGGTCCCATTTCTAAATTTGTGTGCGTTTAAATTTGAATTACTGAAATTAAGTGCGCAAAAGATGCGAAATGTGAGCAGTCCACACAGCTTTTTTCTTTGAGTGAGAATGACAACCTCAACTTCTGGTCTACGCCAGGGATTGGTCCTGGAGGGCCAGTGTCCTCCAGAGTTTAGCTCTAACCATAATTAAACACTACTGCTTATCTTTCTAGTGACACTGATTAGCTTGTTCAGGTGTGTTTGATTAGTGTTGGAGTAAAACTCTGCAGGACAATGGCCCTCCAGGACCGAAGTTGCCCATCCCTGCAATACACCTACAAGCAGGGGTAGACTGACCATAGGGAGCACCAGGACATTTCCCGGTGGCCTGACGGTCTATCCCACCCATTACCCCCCCACCACCCCCCCCCCCCCCCCCAACACACACACACACACACACACACTTTTCATAAACATTGCGCTTCCTGCCCTTGCCTACAAGTACGGGAACTGTGACAGTGAAAACGCAAGCCTGATCTGGGTGGCCCATACCAAATAGGTTCTGTTCTAAACTGTACCATACTGCTCAGTGAAAATGAGGCATAAGGTCACTGTACAAACTCCACTTGAGGACAAAATTTACAGAAATTTGTGACCTTTTTTATTGGCAATATGACCATTGATAGCTATGCATTAAAAGTATTGTCATGGTGAAGATGTCCTTGCTAAATACATGTCTTGTTGTTTTCTCTGATTGGCTGTAGAGCCCTGTCCATCCCTTCTGCTGCAGAGGCACATGGCTGAACTCCTCATTCAAGACAGAGACATGGCTGCCAGTTTCCTCAATAGCGTCTTAAACCAGCTCAACTGGGCCTTCTCTGAATTCATCGGCATGATACAGGAGGTAAGAAGCTTTCGAATCTTTCAACGTGTTAGACAAATAGCCTCACCTCAAACTCAACAAGACAATGTTGATGTACTGATACGCTGAAGTTTTTTGAGAGCACTTTACGCTAAGATTTCTTTAGCCAAATTGCACACTAATTCCAAATGATCTATATTGAGTTGCAGAGCTAAATCAAACTCCGCTTGTTTAAAACTACGGGTTCGTTTTCTTCGCTCTGCTGATTAGCCCTGTAATATTACTTCGCACTAACTCTATCAGACTCTGTAAATTATTCATAATGACAATGCAATCATGATTTCCCTTGATGTTTAACTGAATTGCCACCGTCGTGTGTTTAAAATGAATCTTTGCATATTGCAAGTTACTTACTCTCTAAAATATTTATTAGCCATTGATTGTGTCGAGAAGACGTGCCTCATAACTAGACTTATGGAACTTTTTGAGGCCAACACGAATGCAGAAATTGACACCATGATGGAGGGGTGTTTTTAATACATTTTGAGAGTCTCTTTTTTTGGATGCTAGGTTATTGCTATGTGCTTGCTAAATTGTTCAAAGTTGCCTTTGGTGGTTCCCATGCCTTCACAGGGTCTTTTATTTAATGTTTCTAGGCAGTTGCTGGATGGTGCAGGGCATTTGTGAGGAATTCCGACTGGGTATTTGCATTCTGATTGGCAGACAATATGGTGTGTGTTTTATAGCATTAGTAGGTAGTACTGTGGTGTTCTGGGTTGTTCTGAAGGTTTTGCTTTGTAGTTATCGGAGAGTTCTGGATGAATGAATAGGGCTATAGGCGTTAGTTAGGCCAGGTTCTCCCCTACCTCAATCACTCCAATCAACATTACTTAATTACTATCAGTTCTGCTCCTGCATGTCAGTACCATTCATCACTCCAGCTCAATAAAATCCTCAGTCACTCCTCACTCAGTGTCCGACTTCATTGCATTAACAGAGGACTTCACACTTCTTACAGTCAGTGATTCATACTATTATGAAGTTTACTTACAGGTGCCACTCACTATTCCTTGTGATCTCCACTGTCTTAACCCCTTCTGGTTCCCAGTCTTGTCTCCTTCTGTTCATTGTGTTCAGTCCTCCTCGTTTCCAGATTGCCAAACAGAGAGATTTGACGAATACCAGACAGGAGATCTGTATTCGTCAAATCTCCGTGTTTGGCTATCTGTGTTCTTGGTTCCCCATCGTCACCTATCTGATTGTGCCATCTCCCTCCTGCAACAGTTCCCATGTGTCTCTGGTTCAATCCATGTTAACTGCCATCCTTTATCTAATGTCTAAATACTCTACAGCCTGTTTCTAGTGTCCTTCTGTGGCAATAGAGCAGAATGTTAACATTTTTGAACTCATTCGGCTGATCTTCATATCTGGTGGGAGCTCTTTTAGCTTAGCTTAGCAAAAAACATTGAATTGGATTAGACTATTAGTGTCTTGCTCAAAAAACATCTGTTGTTACTAAGACCGAAAAAATGAAAAGTGACAATGAAAAGTTGCACCTACTACAGCCAGGGATTCATTTTAAAATCCAGCGCCTCTGAAATCTGATCCAGCACCTCATTTTACTAATTCCCTCCTGAACCGCCCTCCTCTCACGTCCTCAGTTTACTTTCACTTTCCTCCACGACTCCCCAACCCTCTTCATTTTCGTCCGTGACAACACCACAGTCTTCACTTTCGTCCTTCTTCCGCGACACCCCTCCGTCATCCAACGCCCATACCCCCCTGCTGTCCACTTTCGTGCGCAACACCTCTCCATCCTCGGGTAACATGAACCGGATCCGTTACCCCGATCTGTTCCAGGACCTCGCAATTCACAAATTAAGCACTGACTACAGCCATAATACAGCAGCAAAGTCCCTTGATTACCATGCAAAAATAAGAGTATAGTTCATTGCCATATTGGCCTAGGAAATAGCTATGTTTAATTTTCTGTCAGCCCTAGTACATGATGTAGCTACAGAAGGGTCAAGCTTTAAATAGGGAAAGCGAGATGCTAACACCCCATTCACACGGGACTTCAGCGTCAATGCTTGACTGATGGCATGTCTGAAGTTGGGGCTAAAGTGATCGTCATAGCAGCATCAGCCAATGAAATTAATGGCTCATTTCCACTGACTGGTACAGTACGGTACGGTCCGGGTCGGTACGGGTCACCTTTATCAGGCTTGCATTTCCAATACCAAGGGTATCCTTTTGATGGGCGTGGTGTATGACAAAGTTTCGAGAAAAAATGTCTACAATAAAGCTGCAAAGGTCGTTCACATATCATATGAAAAGCACTTCTCACAAAACAGATGCTTTACACACATAAATACTTGTGTATAAATGTTTATTACTAACTTTTCTATAAACAGGAGTTGATTATAACTGCAGATCAATGACAGTGCGATATAGCCTACTGTAACGTCTGTAATTATATTTATATTATATATAATTTATGTTAAAATAAATAAATAAATGAACATATATGAACACATACAGCCTCTTACAGTCTCCGATATGTTACCAACTACAGAAGAACTACTCAAAGCAGTCATTTCGTTGTTAATTAGGTTCAAAACAACACAAAGTATAGCCTACAGTCAGTGAAAACCTCTCATCTGTGTCTGCAATCTTCAGCAGCACATGAAGCCTCTGTTAGAGAGTCATTCCATCATTTCCAGTTCATATTAGTCCAAAAGTTGATAATAAAGATTAAAACAAGTTTATTCACGTTTGATGAAGAAATAACGTGCTCCTTAGCTTAGCCTTTTTTCCCGCGCTCCACTCTCGCGTTTGTCCTTTTCTTTCTGAATGTGTCACTCTTGTGTTTGTCAGCTTCTCACAGGATCGGGTTTCCAAAGCTTGTCAATAATCAAGTGCATGTTATTATTATCAGATCAAGAAGTATGTTATTTCAGATAGAGACGCGCGGCGAGCGCAAGAAAGAAAGCGAAACCACTCTGGCTTCAGACTGGCTCGTTTAAAACTACGCGGCACAGGGTGAATCTGCTCTTCTCCATAGCTTTGTGGCTGTTTATCATGACAACGACAGGGTTTGTTTGCAGGATCGACCATGGCTGCATATGTATATATAATTCCGCTGTAATCTCTCGCTATGTATTTCAAACATGGCGGGTCCTTTGTTTACATTCTGGCTTGTTGAGTCTACGAATGACGTATCTCTGTAAACCAATAGCGTTCAGCTGCGCGTGTAGCTCCACCTTTTGGGACCCTTTCTGCAGTTTGGGACCCTTTCGAAAGGGTCCCGAAAAAGTGGTACAGTACGGTTTGGTTCGGTATGCCTTTTGACAGTGGAAACGCCCATAAAAGCGTACCAAACCATACCGTACCGTACCACTCAGTGGAAACGGGCCATTAGTCAGCAATAGGCCACTGTCTAGCATGTGTATTTGCATACAGCGATCTGATTAGCTGACGCTTCCGTCTGCGCTTGAAAAGTTGAGCTATTCCCAACTTCTGCAGCGAGCATTGCCTCTGAAGCGGCGCAGACAGATCCACATTGCACTTTGGCAACGCCTAACGTCACCCATTCAAAGTGAACGAGAAGCGTTGACGCTGAATGGGACGTTATTGTCTAATTCACAGGTTTTAAACTCGCGGGCCTTCAGGAACTGACTTTGACACCCCTGGTCCAATTGGAGTCAATGTTCTAAGCTAAGATAAAGGTGTTCCCGTCATATGTGGAGATCGACTGATTGGATGAAAACATGGTAAAACTCCACAGTTTAACTGCTGGTGACTTGTAAAATGAGCCTATTTCCGAAAATGAGCATTTGCTTAAACGGTTGGCATGTTGTACATGAGTTAAACTCAATTTATTTGCTGCCACTGGTGTTTTCTTCAGGAAATGCAAATGCAGTTTACCTCATGCTTCATTCAACTCATTAACAACTTCATCCAGCCGCACACTAATTTGATCATTTTGAACACCATGGAAACAACCTTTTCGGAAGAGTAGTGCACCAGCCCCTCCCGTGGTTGGGTCATTACAAAACGCAGGCTTCGTAGTCTCAGGGGAAGTTACAGGAGAAAGCCAAACCTCTCTGATCTATAATGGCGGTAAATTAAACCTCAGACAGGAAAGCTCTTTCTCACCGGGCTTTCTCCTCTGCTCCTAAATCAATGTCTTTCAGGAGAGCTGAAGCACTGAAATTCTGCTCATTGCAGATTGGACTTTGATTCGCATGCTGCTTTGCCTGGAGGTTGGCTGGCTCTTAGGAGTGCCTTTCATCTGCGATGATCCTCGAATTAGGAGGCAGCGGTCTCCAGGGGAGTTTGTGATGTGTTTACTGCCTCGGTTTCAGAGAGCGCTAAATTGGAATGAAGGGTGGATGCAGGAAAGAGGCTGATGAGAATGTCTAAACATCAAAACAGCTTTTCTTTCTGCTTAAGTGCAAAAGTTGTACTCTTAAAGAGGCATTAATAGTGAAATGTAGGTGGCGCTTATGAAAATATGGTGCTAGGTGGTTGATGGTGGATTCTGGGGAGTTGCTTGAATGTTCTAAGTGATTGTTGGGACACTAGTAACTATGCAGTTACTAGAGTGTTCTGGGAGGTTTCAGCCTGGATGGTTTGCATGGTGGTTGCAGCAATGTTGTTGGGTGATTCTAGTGGTGTGTTCTGGAGGTTTCTAAGAGGTTGGTGGGTGGTTTTTTAAAGGTTTCTTTTTGGAAGGTTGTTGGTTGGTTTTTTAAAAGGTTGCTTGGAGGTTAGTTGGTGGTTTTTAGGGGGTTGTTTAGTTATTGGAAGATTGTCGGGAGGTTGTTGATTGGTTTTTAGAATATTGTGGAGGTTGTTTAGAGGGTTTTGGGAAGTTGTTAGTTTTTGGAAGGTTGCTGGTAGGTTGTTAAATGTTTTTTTGTAGATTGCTGGGAGGGTGGTTGGTGGTTTTTGGGGGGTTGTTTAGTTTTTGGAAAGTTGCTGGGAGGTTGGTTGGTGGTTTTTGGGGGTTGTTTAGTTTTTGGAAAGTTGCTGGGAGGATGGTTGGTGGTTTTTAGGGGGTTGTTTAGTTATTGGAAGATTGTCAGGAGGTTGTTGATTGATTTTTAGAATATTGTGGAGGTTGTTTAGAGGGTTTTGGGAAGTTGTTAGTTTTTGGAAGGTTGCTGGTAGGTTGTTAAATGTTTTTTTGTAGATTGCTGGGAGGGTGGTTGGTGGTTTTTGGGGGGTTGTTTAGTTTTTGGAAAGTTGCTGGGAGGTTGGTCGGTGGTTTTTGGGGGTTGTTTAGTTTTTGCAAGGTTGCTGGAAAGTTGGTTGTTTTTATTTGGTGAGTTGTTTAGATTTTGGAAGGTTGCTGGGTGGTTGTTGGTTGGTTTTTAGAAGGTTGCTGGGAGGTTGTTTGGTGGTTTTTGGGGCTTGCCTTTTTTGCAAGCTAGCTGTGAGGTTTGGTTTTTAGAAGATTGTTGGCAGGATGGTGGTTTTTGAGAGGTTGTTTAGATTTCGGAAGGTTACTGGGAGGTTTTATAAATGTTGTGTGATACTGGTAGTGTTTTGGGAGGTTTGTGGTTGGTGGGTGTTTTTGAGGGTTGTTGGTGGTTTCTGGAAAGTTGTTTAGTTTTTATATTCCCAGCAACCTTCCTACAACTAACCCACCACCCAAAAACCACCAACCAACCTTTATATTTTGGAATGCTGCTGAAAAGTTGTTGGTTGGTTTTTAGAAGATTGCTGGTAGGTTGGTTGTTGTTTTTTTAGGAGTTTATTTAGAGTTTGTAAGGTTGACAGAAGGTTGTTGGTTGGTTTTTAGAATGTTGCAGGAAGGTTGTTTAGTGGTTTTTGGGAGGTTGTTTAGTTTTTGGAAGTTTGCTGGGGGGTTGTTGATTGTTTTTTTGAAGATTGCTGGGAGGTTGGATTGATGGATTCTGTGAAGTTGTTTGTTTTTTGGAAGGTTGCTGGGAGGTTGGTTGTTTTTATTTGGGAGGTTGTTTAGATTTTGAAAGGTTGCTTGGTGGTTGTTGGCTGGTTTTAGAAGATTGCTAGGAGGTTGGTTGGTTGTTCGATGAGGTTATTTAGATTTCGGAAGGTTACTGGGAGGTTTTATCAATGTTGGTGGGTGATGCTGGTGGTGTTTTGGGAGGTTTCTAAAAGGTTGGTGGGTGTTATTTTTAGGTTATTTTTGGAGGGTTGTTGGTCGGTTTTAAGAAGTTTGCTCACAGGTTGGCTAGTGGTTTTTGAGACATTGTTTAGTTTTTAAGAGGCTTGCTGGGAGATTGGGTCATGGTTTTTGGGAGATGGGTTAGTTGTTTGAAGGTTGCTTGTAGGTTGGTTGTTGGTTTTTTGAGAGGTTGTTGGACTGTAGCTGCGAGGTTGTTGGTTGGTTTTTAGAAGATTGCTTGGCAGTTGGTTGGTAACTTTTAGGAGGGGGGTTAGTTTTTGGAAGGTCGCTGGGAGGTTGGTTGGTGGTTTTGTTTTTGGATTATTGGTGTGGGTTGTTGTTTGGCTTTTAGAAGATTGCTGGGTGGTTGGTTGGTGGTTTTTCGGGAGGTGGTTTAGTTGTTGAAAGGCTGCTGGGAGGTTGGTTGGTGATTTTTGGGTGGTGTGTTAGTTGTTGGAAGGTTGCTGGGAAGTTGGTTGGTGATTTTTAGGAGGTGGGTTAGTTGTTGGAAGGTTGCTGCAAGGTTGGTTTATGGTTTTTGGGAGGTAGTTTAGTTTTTGGACGGTTGCTGTGAGGTTGTTGGTTGGTTTTTACAATATTGCTGGGAGGTTGGTTTGTGGTTTTTAGAAAATTGTTAGTTTTTTAAAGGTTGCTTAGAAGTTGTTTGTTTTTTTAAAGTTTTTTTTTTTTTGCTGGGTGGAAGGTTCCAAGAAGGTTGTTTTTTTTTTTTTTGGAAGGTTTCTTAGAGGTTGTTGGGTGGTTGTTGGTTATGTAACACCCTCAATGAAAATCTAAGAAATTTTAGATTTGTTAAATTTTATATAATAATACATAAAAAAAATAATAATAACAATAAATGTGTTTACAATGTATTATATTATATTGTATTAATACACTATAGAAAATTCATTATAAGAAATGATTAAAGTAAATATGCAGTAAATATTTTCCGAACATTATATTTATTCAAATAAGGATAAAAGCAATATAGTGTTTTTAGAACAAGAAATTAAATTGAAATTATAATATTTTAGGGCCTATGGCATGAAGATTACCATTGGCCTAGGTCTTTAAAGCCTACAGTCTTTTCCTCTGCATATGGCTGTTACGTAGGTTTTTTAGTGGTTGTTGGAAGGTTGCTGGGTGATCTAATTCGTAAGAGTACACAGTCTTATTCTCAATGTATTTTTGTTCCTGCATATGGTTGCGCAAAGGTTGTTTGGGTTTTTTTTAGGTGAATGTTTGGTTGTCAGTGTCACAATAGCCCACAGTCTTGTGGTTGATGTAGTGTAAACGTTCTCATACTTTTCTTTTCTGACCTTCTGTTCCTTTCTATTGTGTCTGTTCATGTTTTTATTTATTTCTCATCAGATCCAACAGGCAGCCGAGCGACCAGAGAGGAATTTCGTGGACACCCGGCAGCTAAAGGTGTGCTCGACCTGTTTTGACCTCTCAGTCAGTCTGCTGCGGGTCCTGGAAATGACCATCACGTTAGTGCCAGAAATTTTCCTGGACTGGACCCGCCCCTCTGCTGAGCTGCTGCTGCGGCGATTGGCTCAGGTAAGCCTGATTGACAGCTGAAAGGTGAACTAAATATAAAAATAAATATAAATATGCAGTTCTCAAGTTCAGAAAGTTCAAAGTGAATGAAGCTCGTTTTAAGCACACCATTAAGATTCTTCTTATAGAGCAGCTTCATGCAGAAACTCTTGAGTTAATGATCCTGTTTGATGCAATTGCTATTAAACATGAGGTTTCTGTTTATTTTCTCAATGTCTTGCAGTGCACAGCTCTCTAAATGTAAATTATTAACAACACAAAGAAAACTTTTAGGCCTCAATCAAATGTTCTGCTTCAAAGGGGTCATATTTTTCTATAAAAAAACATCTTTGGTTATCTAAGTAGACTAGCCTGTAAACAAAGATGTCAGAAATATCCTTTCCAAGGGGGCGCGGTGTCGGCTCACAGCAAGAAGGTTGCTGGTTCGAGTCTCGGCTGGGCCAGTTGGCATTTTCTGTGGAGTTTGCATGTTCTCCCCAAGTTGCCGAGGGTTTTCCTCCAGGTGCTCCCCCACAGTCTAAACACATGCGCTATAGGTGAATTAAATAAGCTAGACTGTCCGTAGTGTATGTGTGTGAATTGTGTGTATGGGTGTTTCCAGCTGGAAGGGCATCCGCTGCGTAAAACATATGCTAAATAAGTTGACGGTTCATTCTGCTGTGGTGACCCCTGATTAATAAAGGAACTAAGCCAAAAAGAAAATTAATGAATGAATGGTTACTTAGAGTTTACTTATTTGCTTAGATCAGGGGTGTCCAAATTCGGTCCTGGAGGTCCGGTGTCTTGCTGAGTTTAGCTCTAACTAGCTTCAACACACCTGCCAGGAAGTTTCTAGTAAACCTAGTAAGAGGTATTAGCTTGATTAGCTGGTTCAGATGTGTTTGATTAAGGTGCGAGCTAAACTCTCTAGAACACTGGCCCTCCTGTACCGAGTTTGAACACCCCTGACTTAGACAGTATTTTCCTGTCAAACTTTTTTTTTTTTTTTATAGATCACAACTCTTGTGTGGGAAGTTTCCCTTCATCATCGTTTTGTGCGTATACCATGGTTAAAAATGAGACATCCCAGATCTGATCAACCAAAAAGAATCTGAAAGCGATGATTTGCATTAAAAAATTACAATTCTGTCATCATTTATTCATCCATCACTTGTTGAACACAAAGAAAGATATTTTTTTGGGGAAAAAAAACACCAACAACAACAGAAAAAACAAACAAACATATGAAACCATTGACTTTCATAGTATTTGTTTGTCCTTTTACAGGTGTCAGTAGTTTCCAACATTCTTCAAAATATTTATATTCTTCTTCTTCTTCTTCTTCTTCTTCTTCTTCTTCTTCAAAAAAGTAAAAAACATTGGATCCACTTAAGGTTGAGTAAATAGTGAGTGCACCTCTTTAACAGCAGGTTTAAACAGGCCTCTATTAGAGTAGGAAGGATCTGTCCGTGGTTCTGGATCTTGTGTTTTTCTGTGCTGCTGCTCTCCATGGTGCTGAACACAACTCTGCTGTTTTATAGTAGACTGCATTTCTTTCTGACCACCACATATGCTGGTTGCTTGGAATTGATGAAATCACAAAAATCTGTGTTAAAAATGTAAAGTTTCATAATGTGTAAAACAACAAAACATTAATCCAAATCTTTTTTATATAAATCTTTGTATTGCTTTTTTTTAAATTTGTTTCTCATTTTCTTTAGTTATAATGATTTCATTCAAATGTTGCACAATTTATTGCTTTTTCTTGTTTTTTAAAGGAATAAATAGTTTGCTTAGTTAGTCGCTCGTAAGTTTGGTTAGTTTTAATGTAATCTAGTGTAATATAATGTGTATTCATATAGTGCATTTATTGATGATGGTTTGGGTTGATGGAGAGATTTTGGCTAGGACAACAGTGTTACACCCCTACTCTTTACCAGAAGTGCCATGGGATGCCAATTACAACAGAGAGTATGGACCTCGGTTTAACGTCTCGTCCGAAAGACACTGCTCACTGACAGTATAGTGTCCTCTTCACTATACTGGAGCATTAGGACTCATACAGACCTCAGGTTGAGCTCCCCCTGCTGTCCTCACTAACACTGCTTCCAACAGCAACCAAGTGTTAGTTAGTAATCTCCTGTTTTTGTAACCATTGTTGCGTAACACTTTTTTTCTTCCTAAATTGTTTTTATTTGGATTTTTTTAATCAGTCAAGCCTTTTTTAAAGACTGTTTGTTTTAGTATTTGATTTTATATTTGTTCAACCTTAATACAACCTTAAATTATTACATCAAAATTAACCCAAAAATGATCTTTATTTTAAAGAAATTTAATTACATTTTATATAAATCTTTATTATTCTGAAAAAAAAGAAATAGTAACAAGGTTAAAAAAAAAACATGACATAAATTATAAGAAAACGACCTCATTTATTATTAAAATATTTACATCAGTGACCAATCCAAAGGTTAATTGCACCTTAAAGTCCGCATGAACGGGAAGCTTGTACCGTTTGTCTTGTACCGTATTGTGAAGCAGTTCCGAATATTAAATGAGTAAACAATGGGCGTGGCTTGTTTTTTCTCCTGCAAGCTGATTGGATGTAGTGAAGTAGGCGTTTCATTAACAAAGATCTGGAAAAGGGTTTGCGGAGAGTTATTACAACCTAACAGACTCCTCCTGCTCACCCTTTCTGTTTATTGTCAAAACCGACATGTGGAGGGACCATGGTTAAGTATGAAAGCCACACCCAATACCTCAGACAGATATAATCCAAGTAATCAATTGAAAGAAAACAGGAAGTGATTTTTCTGATTTCAATTTTAGATTACAAGAGCAAACCACTTTTTTCTTAATGACATACTGTAATGTGATGGCGACGGGATGTGTGGATCCAAACACAGGTTTATTAAACAGAGATTGTCAGGCAAGCAACAGTCAACACAGGGGCAAACAGATGTACACGGGCAACCCAGAGTCGTAGTCACATACACAGGCGAATGGTCAAAAGGCAGGCAGCAGACAACGTAAACAAACAAACAAGGCGAGGGTCAAAAACACGGCAAGGGAAACGTGTGTTAATGTTCACAGTGACAGTATAACAAGACTCAGCCCTGAAGTGTGTGTAAGTGCTGTTTATATAGTCTTTGTAGTCAGTTCATGAGCAGCTCCCAGTCGAGAGTGTGTGTAATCTACTGAATAAGGAACAGGTGCATGTGAGCGGTGCATTACTGGAACTTGTAGTCCATGTAATGGCGAATTTGTAGTCTGTAGTCCTGATAATTATACAAGATGCAAAGATGAATTACTCACCACAAAACTAGCAACAACAGCTAACTAAATCAATATGCTTAGCTTTGACTTCATGTGAACGTTTTGCGTAGGTAAGTGCGAGTGTATTTTGTTTTCAGGCTTTAATTACTTAGGAGAAACTCTGAAAGTGTGTTTGACGTGGGTTTAATTCCCAGCAGTGTGTTCGTTCACCTGTAATTTCTGAAACACACCTGCGAGCGCAGCGCGATCTGAACCCTTGTCCATTTACATTCAGTCCCTGAAGGGCTTGTACTATTTACTATTCTTCGAATACAGTCATGGCTAGCAAACATCAATAAACAGCCCCCGAATGCTCAGCAGCTCTGAATGAATTCTTTGGCTGCTGGGTGATTACAAAAGGCTTTGATTTATGAACCGATGTGTTTGATTTGCTCACCTTTTCATGGTGGATCCATCATGGTGTGCATGTGGTAGACATTCAAAGTGGATCACGATGCTTCTTTGCAGTTGACGAGAATACTTTAAGGATTGAACCACACTCATTATTGTCATAGGACATTCATTCATTCATTCATTCATTCATTCTCCTTCAGCTTAATTTTTTGATTTATCAGAGGTTGCCACAGCGGAATGAACCACCAACTATTCTATATATCTGAGCAAATGACATTGATTATAAAGGTTTAATGACAGTCTTATGAACACCCCATTCAAGTAAAGCATTACCATGTGTTTTAGTCGTATAAGTGTTTTAACTTGTTGCATTTTTACTGTTACTCAATAATGTTTGGATCTTTTAAACGTAAAAAAGATTTGAGAGTTTCATTTCAAGGGTTTAATGATTAAATGTGCATGTATTAAATCTGCAGGAACCCTGCTTTACACTTACCTGGTGGTTGTGTTATGCACAGAATTATAGTTTTTGACAACATTTGTGTGTGTTTTGGTTTACTTTAGCTCCTGAACCAGGTGTTAAATCGAGTTACGGCAGAAAGAAACCTCTTCGACAGGGTGGTCAACCTGCGCCTTCCAGGTAATTCCCGACAATTTCCTCCTAATGTAAACACAAGGGCACAGTAATGCAAATAGGAGTGTAGAACATTCACTGCATGTTTAAGTACACATCCAAAACCAGTTTTATCTCAATTGAACCCTCTCAGGTGTTGGGTTTGTCCTTCATTGTGTCTCCCGAGAGCCGAATTATGGCTTATTGTCACCTCACTGATGACTTCTCACACTTTCCTTTTATAGCATTTTGTCCCAGAACAAATAACCAGTAATTTGATATGCCTTCTGAGACGTTCCCGACCTTTGAAACGATCCCTGAAGTTTGGAAAGTCATTCTTAGCGCTCAGGGAATGATTTTTGAAGAATAAATGGGTTAAGAAATTACAAGGTTGAGTTAGTGTGAAAGACATAATCCAGTCCAGGAGGACACTGAACACATCATCAGACAAGTTTTTATTTTATTCTTGGTTCTTGAAGCAGCGTTTAGTGTCTTTTCAGAATGTTATTAGATGTGATACGTTGACCCGGTTCACTGTGGTCTCAGATTCAGTGACCTATTTTTCTGCTAAAGTGCCGTGTAGTGGATTTAAGTGGGTTTTGTGTCATTTAATTCTCCAGTCATACTTTGTTCTAATACATTTTGGGTATTGTTTTTTTAGGGGGTGTTTATGTCCGTCAATGAAAATAAGAGCGAGCCCGAGCTCTTTATGAAAGCATTAAGGCGTCCTTGAAAAATGTAAAATGGAATTGCTCTCCCGCATAAAGAATAAGACTGAAATCTAAAATAACTTTGCTTATTTACTTAGAAACCCATTTTCCTTATAAAACCGCATGATTTTTTTTCTTTCTAACGGTTTACTTTTACAAATGTTGTTTTTTTTAAAGAAGCATTCCCAGCAGGCACAGCTTGTCAACATGACCTCAGATTGATGTTGTCCTCAAACATTGTGCAGACGTTGCATTTTGTTTGGAAATGAAAATCGGGTTGACATCAGAACCCAACGTCAGGCCTACGTCCAACCTAACCTCAACCAAATATCAACGTCTATTGATGTTGCAGCTTGATGTTGTGTGGACATTACCACAACAACGTCTATCAGACCATGGATTTTGATTGCCATACCTGACAAATAAATGTCAGTATTTGATGTTAATATGATGTTGCTTTAAGATGTTGGCTCCACGTTGGATTTTGGTCACTTTCCAAAACAACCAAAAATCAACCAAATATCAACGTCTAATGATGTTACAGCTCGACGTTGTTTGGACGTTATCACTTTGACGTCTATCAGACATATTTTGGTTGCCATACCTGATGTATAAATGCCAGTATTTGACGTCAATATGACGTTGGTTTAAGATGTTGGCTCAACTTTGGATTTTGGTCACTTTCTAACAACCTAAAATCAACCAAATATCAATGTGTAATGATGTCAGCTTGACGTTCTGTGGACGTTACCACTATGACATCTATCAGACATATTTTGGTTGCCAAACCCAACACAACCTAAAATCAACCAAATATCAATGTCTAATGATGTTACAGCTTGACGTTGTGTGGATGTTACCACTATGACTTCGATCAGACATTGGATTTTGGTTACCATACCTGACGAATAAATGTCAGTATTTGACGTCAATATGATGTTGGTTTAAGATGTTGACTCGATGTTGGATTTTGGTCACTTTCCAACACAACCTAAATAATAATCTTCTTAGTATTAATAATAATAATTTATGTAATGAATTAATAATTATTAATAAATAATATTAAAATAATAGGAATTCATCTTTTTTCTTGAAAAGGTTTTTTAGTTTAAAGAGTCCAGTTAAAGTTTATACTTACCTTTAATTTAATTTAGTTAAATTTAATTTATTTTTTTATTTTAATTTAGTTTAATTTAATTTAGCAAATGCAATTTTTTAATTTAGTTAAATTTAATTAAATTTTTTATTTTAATTTAGTTTAATTTAATTTAATTTAGCAAATGCAATTTTATATTCTTATTTTAATTTAATTTAAGCTAATCTTATTATTTTATTTTATTCTAATTAATTTATTTAACTTCAATTTAATCTTTTTTAAGTTTTTAATTTTAATTTATTTAACTTTTTAATTTAATTTAATTTAATATAGGCCAATCTTATTATTTTATTTTAATTATTTTATTTTATTCTAATTTAAATTGTTTAGGTTAAATTAAATAAATTTAGTTTAATTTTATTTTATATTTTCTTTTTTTATTTTATTTAAACTTATTTTTTATTTAGATTTCTATTTTTTATTTTGTCTTAATTATTTTATTTTATTTTATTTTATTTTATTTTAATCGAACAGAACAGATCCAATTGGCCTTTCACAATTCGTCACAATGTTTACTATATCACCATTAAAATGACCAATCAGCGTCCGGGACTAGTTCTGACGAATTGAAAAAGACCCTGAATCACAAACAAGACCAAATTAGTTTTTTCTGTATGTTTAGGCCTGGAGAGTGTCGATCATTATCCCATCCTGGTGGCAGTTACAGGGATATTGGTGCGCATTTTGGTCGACTCCAACAAACAAGGGTGAGTTTTCTGGCTTTTCATGTTCTTTCTGCATTTATAAATGATAAAGATTAAAAAATGCATATCACATACAATCACGCTGCTCAGATTCACCTAAAATCAAGCATCAGTTTAATGCAAATTCAGTCTGGCTTTTGTTTTCTGGTTCACGGGGTGTTTTCGTCTCAAAAGAGCACATTTTTTCTAAGGAAACGGGTACATTGCAGAGGTCTGTGTTTTGGCATGGCAAATCGACATTTAATTGTGGGCTCTGACGCCTGAGGAAAGTCTGACACCCAGTTGTGCATCTGTGGGTCACAGCGGCAGCATTCAGGACACAACCTGTCCTGTGGGAAGGTGAAAACTAATAAACGTCTCCCGCTGAAGCCGATGACACTTCTGACAGCGGCAAAAAAACGGGGTCTCCAATTCATCACAGGCTTAAAGTGATTCTGAAATGTTGTTTCTGCTGTAGGCTGAAGCTTTGGGATATTTCTGGTCTTTCTGTTGTTTTGTTTTTTGCAAAATGGTGCTGCGGCTAGTGGCTATAATTACAGCGAGAATTGGATTGTGTCAAGAGTTTTGGGTCCGAGAGAGAGAGTTATTATTGTATTTATGAAAGCTGAGTTCATACTTTCATGCGGTAAAGAGGCATTCATTTTATCTAAAGTGACAGTAAAAGCTTTTGTAGTGTTGCATAAGGTTTCGGTTTTAGATTGTTGGAGCAAGCTTCATGTTAGCTTGAGAAAGTCTTGTCTAAATGTTTGTAAGGTAAACCCTAGGATAAAAAGAAAAGAAAGAGAAACAAAATAGAATTTAAAGATTTGTCTAGCATATTAAACATTGCTAGCATGATTTCAACCAATTGCTAGCATGAATTGAGAAGTTTCTAGTATGTTTCTACTATTTTTGTACATGGTAATGTTTTTAGCATGATGCTAACAAAGATTTTAGATAAATCTTTTAAAGCTGAGTTTACACTTTTATGCAGTAAGGATACATTAAATTGATCTAAGTGACAGTAAAAGCTTTTATAGTGTCATATAAGATTTCGGTTTTAGATTGTTGATGCTAACTTTATTAGCCTGAGAAAGTCTTGTCTGAATGTTTGTAAGGTAAACCTTAGTATAAAAAGGAAAGGAAGAAAAAGAATGAAACTTTTAACATTTTCTAGGCTATTAAAAACATTGCTAGTGTGAATTAACCCAAATTCAAGCATCAGTTAAGAAGTTGAGTATGTTTCAAGCATACTTTTGTAAATGGTAATATTTTTAGCATGTTGCTAACAGGTTTTAGCTCAGAGTTGATCGTTTAGCTTGTTGCTAGCATGTTTTAACTCCATTTTAGTATGGATTAGCATGATGTTAGCAGTTTAACATGTGGCTAATGTGGATTTGCTATTGCTATCATGCTTTTTTTAACATTCTACTTTGTTGTTGGCTTAATTTGGCAAATGTAACATTTGTTGGACAAACGAACATGTTTTCTTGTTTTTAAAAGTTTTATATATATATATATATATATATATATATATATATATATATATATATATATATATATATAATATTTGTATTTATTTTAATATTTGTTTTAATAATTAAATATACAACTGTTCTGTCTTGGGGCGACGCAGTGGCGCAGTAGGTAGTGCTGTCGCCTCACAGCAAGCTTTCTTAATTTCTTTTGCCAAAATCATGGCAAAAAGTTTTGTAAATTTGTGAATTGTTAAGAACTTAATTTAGTCAACTTTAAAGGGATTTTCACGATATCCAGAAGAGTTTTTGTTTTTTTTGCACACTCTGATTCCAGTTTTCAATCAGTTAAATAGTGTTTTATCCTAACAAACCATTCATCATTGCAAAGTGGATGTTTAAATCTCAACTTCAATGGCTTTAATTATGACTGGATGTTCACATTTTATTTAAAAGAAATGTGCGCACACTTTCAAAATGCAGCTTTGATATCTGTGAGTCATGAAAGATATCATGGAACAAGCATCCTGACTGGCCTTAATTCATGTTTCTGAGGATCAGGCCCGGCCCTAACCAATTTGGCGCCCTAGGCAAGATTTCAGGTGGCGCCCCGTCACATCGCAGTAAATTCCACTGCTAGTGTAAAGTCATAAGAAACTAATAAGCTTTTTGATCGACTACTACAAGCTGGGAAAAGGTCAGATAAATATGCCAATGCAATTAACATTATTGCTGAATAGATCTAATATTTACACATTTGCTTGAGAAAGTAATGATGGGGTAGTTACATTACTATTACTATTTTCCATAACATCTATGCCAGGGGTCTCAAACTCAATTTACCTGGGGGCCGCAGGACGCAAAGTCTGGGTGAGGCTGGGCCGCATAAGGGATTTCACAAAAAAAAGTCCTTAAATGTCATTATTAACAGTTTTAATTATTTCCTCTGAACATGAAGTGTTCTGAACATTAATAGAACATTGAGTGAAGATTATGAACAGTTCTTCTGAACATGGCATCTTTTGCCTACTTCTTGCTGCCAGAGACTTGACAGCGCTTCAAGTGGGGGAAAAAGTGGGGGAACTCACTCAAAACTTCCATTCCCTCACCTAAAAAAAGGCGTATATATGTATAAATAAAACACCCCCACCCCACTCCAGTCACATCAGTCTGTACCAGTCTGTATCTACCTATAATATATAAAGATGCAGGCTGTAGCTAGGTAGGTGGCAGGCTGCAGATAGGTAGCTAAGTGGCAGGCAGGGGCGGGAACAGCTTACCTTGGTTCTGGCCGGCGCGAGTTCCCTCCTAACACTTCCCGCCCGTCACAGCGTCTAACAAAGGGGCGGGGTGCGTGGTGACGTCACCGGCATCCCCGCCCCTTTGTTTACACGGCGGGCGGGGAATGCCAGTGACCGCTGTGTACGAATAGAATCAGCGGAGCGGGGAGCGCTCTCTCTCCCCGCTCCGCTGATTCTGTCAGTGTACAGCGGTCGGCGCGGGCCACAAAATATTGCACTGAGGGCCGCAAATGGCCCGCGGGCCACGAGTTTGAGACCCCTGATCTATGCCCTTCCATAACATTAGCTGACGTTAAAACTAAAAGATAGCACTATAGATATTTATTGATTAGCAATGTTATGTCAACGTTGGGATGTAAAAAATATGGGACAACAAATAGCTTCAAATGATAGAAAACATAGCAAACAATAGAAAATATTGGCAATAAAATAAAAGGTTTACCCTTTTAAAAACAATGGCCTATACAGAAATTAAATAACGCTATAAAATCTATTTGACTTTTAATTGTATTTGCACATTGAATAAAGTCACTATAGTTATTTAGTGAAGAGCAGCAAATGAATCTCTCATTGTGTTTTGTTTGATAACAGAGGTGTTAATGTAAGAATGCACAGATCTATAATGAATGAATGAATGAAGCATTTGACTACTGTAGTAACTGTTTGTGCTAATTTAATAGAAAATTGGTTGTGTTTAAAATAAAACACGCAGGATAGAGCAAAAAAAAAAAGAAAAAAAAAGAAGCACTTTTCCGACGGTCCCTTACTGAGAGCTCCACTCCGCGCGAGCTGAGCTCTCCTGGCTAAACGCATATCCCCGGCTAAACTGAGCAGTGGTCATAATGTCGAGCGAAAAAAAAAAAGAAGCTGTGAAACATAACCAGCTTTGTCTTTTTGTAGGAAATACACTTTAGATCTTTTTAGGGTAAGATGTTTTTGAGTTATTGCCGTCAATCACTGAATGTGTCATGAATATCAAAAACAAAACCAACTTAACCGCGTTCATTTCTGGCGCCCCCCTGGATGTACAGCGCCCTTAGCATTTGCCTATACTGCCTATGCCACGGGCCGGCCCTGCTGAGGATACTCCTGCATGTTCCTCCAGTTTGATTAAGCTGTCTGTAGAAATACAGGCAGCTTTATATTATTGGCTTTGTTCGTGAGTGAGCTCTTCCTGAACATGCTTCAAACTTCCAGCACACAAATGAGTTTGGAAACTGGATCTCTGGATGAACAATGAACCGTTCAGATTCCCAGAAAACTCAAAGTCATGGATGACTTGATGTCTCAGCGTGAGCGCTGAGCAGATGTTTAGCATTTCACAGGCTGAAGATAATGCTGGAGATGTATAAATTACAAATGTATTCAATTTAAACCAATTTCTAGCATAAATTGAGAGGTTGCTAGTATGTTTTTAGCATTTTTTTTCGTATATGGTAACATTTTTAGCTTGCTACGTAATAGTTTTGTTTACTAGCATATACTTTAAATCATTTTATATCAAGTCCAAGTCAAGTGCTTTCATTTTTCTTGAATTTACAATTATAATATATACAGTTGGATTCAGAATTATTAGCCCCCTTTTGATTTTTATTTTCTTTTTTTTAATATTTCCCAAATTATGTGTAACAGAGCAAGGAAATTTTCACAGTATGTCTGATAATATTTTGTCTTCTGGAGAAAGTCTTATTTGTTTTATTTCGGCTAGAATAAAAGCAGTTTAAAATTTTTTAAAAACCATTTTTGGCACAAAATCATCAGCCCCTTTAAGCTAATTTTTTTCCCGATAGTCTACAGAACAAACCATCGTTATACAATAACTTGCCTAACTACCCTAACCTGCCTAGTTCACCTTATTAACCTAGTTAAGCCTTTAAATGTCACTTTAAGCTGTATAGAAGTGTCTTGAAAAATATCAAGTAAAATATTATTTGCTGTCATCATGGCAAAGATAAAATAAATCAGTTATTAGAAATGAGTTATTAAAACTATTATGCTTAGAAATATGCTGAAACAATCTTCCCTCCATTAAACAGAAATTTGGGAAAAAAATAAACAGGGGCGCTAATAATTCAGGGGGGCCAAAAATTCTGACTTCAACTGTACATATTTAGCCTGTTAAGGATTTATACGTGTTACATTATGTTTCAGGCTTGATGTCTCGGTGTGAGCGTTGAGCAGATGTTTAATATTTCACAGGCTCGAGATGGAAGAGTGATGCAGAAACATTTGCTTTGTGTGAGAGAAA